GTTTCTGTCCATTCATCAAGAGAGCTCAGATGAATACTAATACAACAAACTACAGGACACTTCGGTGACAGGAACACTTCAGACAAAGGGCAGAGTGAGAGAAGAAGTGCTTTGGGTTTTTTACTTGTTCACTTTAAGATTATTTAAGATTATTATTATTAGCAGCAAAAAATGAAGTGGCATTCTTACCTTTCATTGCTATTTTATCCAGTCACTCACATTCCTCTTTGCCTACTTACCAACAAACCATAATATAATAAATAAAATAATTACTTACCTACAAATCCTTTCTCTCCAACTAATTTAAGGGCAATTTTATCTGCCAAAACAGAAGAATTTCCATGTGCAATGTTAGCAAAAGGCCCAGCGTGAACAAATACTGGTGTTCCCTGAATGACAAAACATATATATCATTAATTTACCGGATAGGTAAGAACACCAGCTCAATACTCTTACAGACGAATCAAGATTCTATATAAATCAAAAGCACATGGAACGAGTAAGCACTGTTAGGTAACTCGGGGGGGTTAGGTCCATCTCTGGTGCTTGAGACCCCATTTGCTGACAGGCCTAGAGGTCAGAACCTGCTTCATTCATGGAAAGGTAATGGACGGCAGCGCAACCTGTAGGTAACACACAACTTCTCACCCAGCCTTGTACTATCGTTTCCTATTTCCGCTGCCCTAATGCTGCGGCGTGCTAGCCTGGCACACGTACTACCATCAGCGCTACGTGCATTGCTGCAGGTGGTACACAAACAGAGCCCAGCTCCCGCCCTACGCCAGCCCTTACTGCTCCTGTTTTCCTCACCGACCGTAACTGCCACCCCTGTGCCGGCGGAGCAGCCCTTGGAAGCGATGAGGGACCAGAGCCAACGGGTAAGGAGCTGGAGAGGGAGAAGAGAAGCGACGTGGCTGGGGTGCAGCGGGATGCTGACATATAATGGAAAAAGCATTCACTGCTGCTCACCGAGCGCTGGGAGCCCTGGGTGCAGAGCCGAATTCCCCCATGCTAGACGCCATACAAATACACAAGGAAAGCAGGCTCTGCAGCAGGGAGCACTCTAAAACAGCAAAAGGACAGGCAAGGAGTTAATAAAAGTAATGGCATAGGGAAATTTGTCAGATAGCAAGCAAAGCTCAGCTTCCCTCTTACTTTTTTGGCAGGCATCACAAGGGAGAAATTAGAAAATTAGCATCTTCAGAAAGGGATTAGGATTAGGTGAGACATATTAACTGCTATCTTTCGTCCAAGTCAGAATACACAATCAGACGGAAGCATGTCACTTCAACTGCCTTACTATACTTAAGCAAACAAATCCCCATTGTTGTGTTAAAGCTTTTAAAAAAACACAGCCGGTTAAAGAAAAGGTAAGCAGATAACTTCAAATTATCTCCATCAATGTTCTTCACGCATTCTGTATTAGCAACTACTGCCAACTCTCAAAATTTCTGGCAAGCTACTGGGCAATCTTCCGCAATTTTTGACCAGAAACAACAGTTAAGGAGGAGTGTTCCGTGGATCAGCTGCAGGCCACATCCAACAGCCCCATGAACCACAACTTGGAAACTATTAACCATATAATAAAAACTGGTTGCTCCCCTACCACCAGTGTCTTAAGAAAACAACATAGACAAAAATTTTCATGTTTTCCACCAGAACAATTGGATTACAGTAGTGAAATACTTGCTACTATAGAAAACAGATTTTCCTGTTTATATAACACTGAATACAAATCATATAAAATATATGAACAACAAGCACCTGTTCTTATTGCTTCCTCTAGAAATAATTATACCTAATTAACTGTTTTGTTCAGAGGAAAGACAATTAACTTCTTATCCACTGGCACATCAAACTTCAGGTTTGCTCTAGTAAAACCGGGGATTTTTTTTTTTAATCAAGAGTGGAAAAGGAGAATATGCATACATATGGGCAGGGGATATTCTCCAAAAACAAGACAATTAAGCTACAATCCAAAGACAGCTCTGCCTCATACATTTTAGAGAAGAAACAGTGTAACCAGAGCAGAAAAAGTAAATAAACAGAAATCATGCCCTGTAACAAAAGGAATTATGCAGTTTATTATAATCATAACACACTAACTTCACCGTGTTTACTTATGGTTTTTTTTCTTGTTTTCTATCTGCTAATGACCACATACTGCAATATCAGCTGGGGTTTTACATATTTATGCAAAAAATTTAACTTGCACTATACGCATCTTCAAAGGTTCCTATAGTATTTAGGCATCAATATAACAGAAGGTGCTGCGCAAACCAAAATATTACCCCTATCCCAAAGAGCTTATAACTTACACAAAATAAAATGCAAACCACTTCCACCAACCTAAGTTTAAGTTTTACTTCCTTACGTCTTACTTTTACTTCAACCCAGTATTTACCCTTCTGGCATTCAAATAGAAGTAAACAACATTTATTTATTTATTTTATTTGACTGCAGTTTTCAGCTACCAGATTGAAATGCACGATTTATTAATTTATTCTGATTTGTGTTTTCTTACTTACTAAGTTTAATCTTACTCTTCCAAGCCCTTAATTTCTTGCGGCAAGCAACTACAGGGCTGCTCTCGTTAGAGCCCAGCACACGCATGGGCAGATGTGATGCATGGAAGCGCAACCACAGATGATGAGGGCAGCCCAGCCCGCACTGCGGGAGCTGTGCAGAAAGGGGGTAAGAAGGGTCTCCCACAACATTCCCCGTGCAATTGTGCTTCCAAGAGTTCATCCACACAACACGGATGAGAAGGAAATTTGGATTGTGGGGTCCAACATCCAGAATATCGGTAGCCAAGGGTTCCCCTGCCGCTAACTCGAAATCCAAACACACTCCTAAACCACTGGCATGGACAGATGCTCCCCTGGAACTCTGAAATCCACCAAAAGAAAAGGAGGAGTTATTTGAATGGTGCTTTTACAAGGGCAATCCTGCAAGAAAAATACAGTCTAGGTACTGAAGGGACTGAACTCCAGCAGAAGCTCGGGAGCCTCAGGTACACCCTGGAACAGGGACAACGACGTCTTTGTGGGCCAGCTTCAGCAACTCTGCGTCAGTCCATTTGTCCCACTCTGCAGAGTGCCACTTACTTTTCGTTATATCCTTAATAAACTACATGGAGAAACAAACAGTGTCACAGGGATGCATTCTGCTGACTGTTTTCAGTACACAAAATGTTATTATCCGTGCTTTAGTAAAAGAAAACGAACCCAGAATGTCAATAAATATCTGAAGTTATCTGGCTGCTAGATGGATGTTTATAACACTTATCACCATCCTCCCCTCATCTTTACTGGGAGTGGCACTTTCAGTGTAAGAGAAGCAGCCGATCCCAGCGCAGCCAGCCTGCAACTCCAAAGAGTTGCCCCACAGAGCGGCTGCTTTGTTATGCATGGTATAAATAAGTGCTGAACATTAAGGGATCAGTTCACAAGGGAACAAATCTGTCATGACAAACATGGATAAACACTATGAAATCATTATGTACATTTCAAACAAAGTCATCTCAGTTCTACAGCACTGGATAGAAGTTCTACTGAAGCCTACAGTTATTGTAGGTGGAGTGCCCCATGTTTCCTATTTTGAGATTTTACTGTCATTCCTGCATATAAAACACTGTCAATCACTAATGGCTTGAGGCAGCATTTCTGGTGACAGAGTAGCAGGGTTATTATGGAAATAACCCACTAAGAAACCACCTTATAAAACAGCAAATTAAAATATACACATCAATTCATGTATGAAAAAAAAGCACTGACCCAAGTTGCCAGTTCAGTTCCACGCAGGATTGGCATTCAGTTGTTTTTGATTTATGAACTTCTAAACTTCTTCTCCAGTGCACACAGACACACATACAAAGCTGGTGCATATCTATCAGGTCATTCTTCTCCCCTTTCATAGGCCCTTAGAAGCAACTCCTCAGACCTCCACAGATTAAGACACTACCCATCTACAGGGTCTTTACCAGATCACAGAGGAGCGCAGCTAATTCTGCAATGGCTACTTTCAGCTGCTGCTAACCACAGACACTATCACTTACAACTTATGCCAAATTAACTGCCAGTATCATCCGGAAGGCACCCAGAAGGTCTCCTGCTCCACTTCCTCAAGCAGTCTTTTTGCCATTCCCCAATACCAAAGTGACCTGGAAGACCTGCTTTGGTGAACAATTTCATCCCTACTTGTAGGACAGGTCCATGGCACAGTCTGAGCTGCATTGTGTTCTGCTTAATCATATTATTCTGGTTTTTACACCACCAGTGTGCTGTAGACACTGGATGTCCCTGTCACAGGATCATTCCTGATGTTACTGTTATCAAGTTGTGGTGCTGCTGCTAAAGGTCTTTACATTTGTACTGAGAACTTGTTCTCCCTGAAGGGATTAGGATTATGTTGCTCAGTTACTTCTGGTAGCCTCTTCGGAAGCTTAAGAGGTCCCTCTTCTTTTGGCTGCTATTTATTAGGATTATTTCAAGTCTAATTTAGGCTTCAAATCGCCTAATTTCTAGTTTGCGAGAAGAGAGACTTGCAACTCACACACACATCAGAAATGTGTCATTCCCTACAGCAGAAGAGACATTATTACATCCACCACCTCAGGGTACAGTAGGATTAGCTTGGCTTAAAATCTATCATGCTGGAGGGCTCTAAACTCACAGGTGGATCACTGCTACATTCAAGCATGCAGGGCAAAATATCTTCCTTATTTCATCCACGCCCTCCTTTTTCTTCTTGAAAAACTGAAGCTATTAAAATTAGCAGCTCTTAAAGCTATTAACATGAATAATTAAAAATATTGAAAGATATTTATTAACAAAATGTGACATGAAAGAAGCTTGAGGCTCAAGAACAGCAACAACAGCAAGGGAAGTAACAGAGTAGGCCATTGCATTTCTACACAACAGCAATGAAACAGTCCAAGAGGCATACATCGGCCGACACACAGCACTATCTTGGAAAAGATTTAGACAAGCTGGAGATTTCCATTCTTGGATAGGTGACTCGTATTAGCCTGCAGGCTAAAAGGTATTAAAAATATGACAAAGTTCATCTTTGAGACTCAAATGGCAGGCGTGGAGGATGAAGCGGTCCTCTGAGCTGCTTCAGTTTGCTGTTTTAACAGTAACTTTGTAAGAAGAATTTTTGGGAAAAATACCCTCGGGTACTGCAGTCAGGATCCTCCTAACAAGCAACAGTGTTTGATGAAAGTTGGCAGATGTTTCATCAATAGCATAGATTAGACTAGAAAAGAATACCACATAAAAGGCAAGAATTTTGTTGCACAAATGTGAATATAAAGAAATACAGCGGGGAAAAAAAAAAAAAGCTGGCAAGTCCCAGAACCAAATGCCTATCGATCAAAAGAAACTCTTCTGACATTTATAATTGTCTTTTAGAACAGTACAACAAAACCATGCTATTTTCTAACGGATATGCAAATAGAGTGACACAGACTAAACACTCAGAATCAAAGCTACCTTGTCACTGATGCTTAACGCACACAGTGTTATCCAAGTGGCGATTTAATACACAGTTCTGGCCGTGACATTCTTGCTCCTACGTGACCTCCAGTTTCTGCTATTGGATGTTATATTAAGTTCTGACACACACATGTATTCTTTATACACTCACATGAAAGAATGGATGTTCTTTGCAGGAGAAACCAATTAAGCTGGCTATAGTGAAATAACACTTTGCGTGACTTGAATTCTATTTTTCTAATATTCCCTGAGAGTAGGAAGTTGTCCCCATCCAAATACAAAAGCAAAAAAGTAGTTATCACTTCGACGCGCTGTGTGTGAGACATTTTTACCAACCAGGGACAGCACTAGTATCCTTCTACATTCTTCAACTTTTCACCATACCAGAAATTGTGAAATATTCTAGCTACATAATTTTGATGGACAAATTTTTAGTAATATACCTTAATTTTTCTCCAAATGCATTTGTTTCCAAAACTGTTTCATTATTCCCCCATTTTTCTTCCTCCCTCTTGCCATGAATACTGTTCATCATGCAGCTTACTTTGAAAAGCCAATACTAGAGTGCCCAGTCACAAAGTTCGGTTGTACTAATTCTGTGTTCTTTGAGCTGTTGGAAGAAAGCTCATTAGGGTAAGTGCAAAATATTCCTCTCATGGACCAGTAAAGCTTCATTTAGTCTCTGAAGGCACTATGGCAAGACAGCATGGCTGGGAGCCCTCTTTTGAAAAAGTGTAAACAGGCAAAAGGACCTTCCTGTGTTTCTGAATGATACAAACTATAATACAGAATAGAATAGCCTCAGCGAAGCATCCGCCTTCTACTCAAAATGCTGGGCTGAGGGAATCCTCATGGGAACATACAGGTAAATCAAATACATAAAAAGAAAACTTCTCTAGAAGAGCAAGATGGGAAACAGAAGGAACTCTGTTACCTGGAAGCCCAACCTGCTTTCCAGTGTGCTCAAAAGCAGCTCAACAGTGCACTGCTGCTTGTTTGCAACACTGGGCAAAATTATGACTAAAGCCAGGGTCTCAAAGAAAGGAAGAAAAACCACCAAAAAGGTATAAATGCAGCTAGAGTTGAATAGTTAAAATACACAAAGGAACATTTGCTAAAATGCCTCTATGGATTTGACCCTGGCTTGAACCTTGAAAGTTAAGCATGGTCACTGGAGAGAAGCACGACAAGGACTATATATAATTTGAAAGCCAGAGAAGAAAGGCAGGCATCTATAAGTGATACTCACCTCTAACGTTTGCATTAGCGTTGGCTTAATTGCGTCTTTCATCAAAACTGCCAAAGCGCCTGTTACTCCCTATAAAACAAGAGAGTCCACATTTTGAGGAAGTCAGTTCTAAGGGGCAACATTTCTGAGTTACATTTAAGCTTACAGTTAAAACAGGGAAAAAACCTTACAGTTCAAAGGAGAAAAAGAAAGTGTGCTCATAAACCATAATGGATAAGCAGTGTTCCACAAATAATTTATTCAGATGTTACTTCAAGACTGCTAATACACTGTGTTTACAGAGTGTGCCAGAAATAGTTACAATTTTGTTCTGAATACCCTTAAAAGACAGTAGGGCAAATATTCTTCTCATTTCAGAGTTATTAAGTGATCAGCATGAGAATGTTCATGGGAACAAAAGACAAAGTGGAGGCAAAGGCCACTGAGACCTGAGAAAGCAAGAAAACAATAACTTGCTAAAATTGCCTGACGAAATGACAGATGTATTTCTTTCATGACAGAATCAATAGCATGAATCAATAGCTAGCAATAACCAGAAAGGGTGTTTTTCAAGACTTGTACAAATATATACACAATAGACACAGGATGAAAGCAGACACGTAGCTGACTAGGGGTAGATAATGAATACATCATGAGATTGAAAGTTAGAGGTGCCTTACTGTGGTGATGAGAGGACAAAAGGAGCTAAGTGAATTGCTGCTCTTTAGTTGTAAAAAATCTTATTCCTCCCTAAGAATTTTGCTGGATATGGATTATAAATTTCACACTGACTGAATTGGAAGTAAGAGGAAGTCATGACATCTCTTTACACTAAAATTCAATGCCCATTTTAGAAAAAAATGACTACAGAGGGTGCACAGCACTATCAGACCATATGCAGAGTGCTACCTAGAAACCACAAGCATATATTTCAATTTATTCCTAAATTACTTTGATTTTGAGAAGAAAATGTGTTTTGTTTTGCAAGAACTAGATCACGGATAGAAAAAATGCAGTTGTGTTATAAGGAGTGGCTCATAGGCTTGCTGGACAACGCAAAAAATTAATTTAATACATTATTGTATTGAAAAGAAACATTAAAACCAAATAAAAATACCAGCTGCTGTAAACTGTTTAAAATGAAGGCTGAAAAACATGGATACATTACCTGAATAGCCTATTAAGAGCTGAACAGTAATGTTCAAATAAAAAGCAGCAATGAAAATAGCACATGTATAATTCTCAACACAGCTTCTGTCAATTAACCCAAAATTTGAACAATCAAACTCTGTGTGAAAATCCAAATGACAGACAGATGAAAGACATGAAAATGCATGGTCATTACATAAGAACAATATATTACATAAATTCAAGGTTTTGCTTTCTAAGCATCACATCTGAGCATAGACTTCAGAGCACAATGCAGCAGAATATTGGTGTTGGATAAAAATGAGTTGAAACCAAAATAGTAAAACTGGTTTCTACTACAGTATAGCAAATGTTTTCTTGCAGGAGAGTGAAGGCAAGGAAATAGAAGAGGGAAAGATGTTTCTTCAGTCTTTGCATTTTGTAAGCTCACGCTATCTACAAACCCCAGTAGGCACACAATGACATAATATGAGAAACTGGTAGCAAAACAATATACTTTCCCTCTTCTGAACTAGCAAAGAATAGATTTCTACTTCTTAATATGTTGATTTTAGAAGAACACAGGGAAACACCAGCACGCCAGTGCTCTGTGGGAAAGGCTGAGGCTCCCTCAATTCCACAGAAGCAGCCTGGTGCTAATGTTGTACCTATATCCAACTAGTCTCATTTGAATCCAAAGCTCACGGCCTAAATTCAAGGAAAATGGAAAACATGTTAAAAAGAGAAATAAAATTATTGTTGCTTTTCATTTCCACAACATATCCTTTATTGATACAGATCAGTTTACAATCATACCAGTTAAAACAATTATTTTAGATAACTTAAAAATGCAGAACAAATCTCAAAAACAATGTTTCATAAACTTTCATTTAACCAGTATCCCATAAAATTTTCTGCTGTTAGAATAAAATGTAACTTCAATATTTTATCCATAAGTGAGTTTGCTTTTTATGGCCATGTAAAAATAACTGCCACTGCTATTGCCTTTGATTCCTTGCATTTTAGTAATTTGCAAAAGTCTTTCTAAAGTGGGCTTATTTCTTAGGATATTAAATTTTAAATCTGTTCAACAGAACAACTTGCTTTATAAAACTGATTTGATTCACTTCCAAATTTGAAGTGCTTACAAAATAAAATAGTGAATACCCAGCCCCAGCTCTAAGAATTTCAAAATGAAATGGAACAAATTTCAATCCTAGCAATTTTTTCATTAAATCCCAGTTTCTAATCCTACTAATTTATCAAAACAAATATATTTTTACCTGTTCATCACAGTGCAGAATTTGAATTCATTAAAAACAACAACAACAAAATCATAGTTTGCAATATACTTATTAAATAGACCTATAAGCCTGGTTTTTTCCTGCTGTTTGATCAATTCAGCAGCCAGCTAGGACAGAGTTTCTCAGACCAGAAGCAAAGTTCTTCCCCTTCCACCCCTAGCTGAAGGAAATGATGCTCGGCACTAGTTTCTAGCAACATAAAACTACAACAGCTAGTTAAGTTCTTCATCTTCCGTCTCACAGAAAGCGGAACCATGTACACTAGTTAGGAGGCAACAGGTAATAGAAATATCTGAAGAAAAAGGTTGGTTAATTTTACGTTTTCTTCCTGTATTTCAGTTTTTCTGTCATCATATAGCATAAGCTATTCATCATTATGCTAAAAGAGAAACAGCTGCTGATAATTTTCAGCACATGAATGCTGAGATAGTTTACAATCTTACCACGTACAAGGCAACTGTAATAGCTGTTGAACTTTCTGGAGAAAAAAAGCCAAATGGAAAACTTTACATCAGATCTTCCAGCTAGTCAATGGCAAGGTTAACTACCTGAGCAGCCACGGATCAGCCCTAATGCTCGTCTTGGGAAACTTGCCTAAGGATTGACACGTGTTAACTCATGCCGACTGTAGCCATCCGATTAGGGGCTTCTGTTGTCTACTTCATGCTGGATGAGACCAGCAGCTCATTTGAAGTAAGCATGCAAACAGCCATTTACTGACCCAAGCCACGTTGACTGGAAAGAAGGCTTTGGGGGAGAAGTAAAATATGAAATAAAATCAGGACACTTCTGCTCTCTCCCCCCACAACAACAATGCCTCAAATCCTCTCCCCTTTGCTTTCTCTTAGTTCTTCACCAATATGATAAAAATAGTGAAGCAAAAGCCCCCGATACCTCCTATGGATTTTAACTTTTTGGGAAACTTCATCCATATTAGATACACATTCTGGACACAACAACTCATTGTAACTGAATCTGAAAGCAAAGAAAAAAAGATGCAAAGACTCCAATTAGCACACACCATGTCTATCTGCCTTCCATAGCTCTTAAACAGGTATGGTGTCAACAACAGTCCTTAAAAGCTAAACAGCCAATATACTTTTCACATCTATGTGACATGACTCTGTCAGAATAAAGTGTTCATTCCTTCATATCTGCAATCCTCCAAGCAGCTAGCAAACAATTCCCACAGCTCACTCAAAGTCCTGGATCTGATTCTCAAAGATATTTAAGGAATCAGGTTTCCATTTCCAATTCAGAGAAGGTAGATAATTTTTTTTATAAAAGAATTAGAGGCTTGGATGCTTACACACCAATTAAGCGTGTGAGAGCCCAAGGATCACTAGCTTTCCACCAACTCACTGTCAGAAGAAAGAAGTAGGACTCAGAATCAAATGTAGACGGACACCCAGCTCTCCAGGGTTCCCTCCTGGAACTGATCCCAATACTTCTGAAAATAATACCCCTTCCATCTATCCACCAGCTGTCGGGGCAGGTATGCTCCCCAGGACAGAAAAGATCATACAGCACAAAATAAATTACATACGTGACACAGGAAAGGCAAACTTAGATGAAAAACCAAAACACTTTCAAAGTAATTTCCAGTGGAGCAGTCTCTGAAGTCTAGCAAAAGTGGAAATGAAAGCCAGCATTAGATGACAAGGAAGGTGATTGAGAGTAAATACTGTGAAATGAATAAGGGTTACACAGACTGAAAGGCAGAGAAAAACCCTTTTCTTGATAGGAAAAATAATGAAGTTCTTGTAACTTCCCATCATTTGAAACTATAGTCTCTAACAAAATGATATTTTTCTGGAATATCAGTTCTGTAAAAAACTAATCCCTAAACCGTAAACTGAGAAGAGTTGCAACCACTTGTGTTTAAAGTGAAGTATGTACACAATGTTTCTGATGAATCAGAGAACAAAATATATTCAGCTGACAGATCACTTATAAAAGTAAATATGAAGCTATTTTTTTGGGTCCTGGAATTATTGAAATCTAACAGCATGGCACAGAAAGTAAGCTGAAAAGAAGTCTTATTTTAAAAAAAAGTGACATATTTATTTAATATTTTTCATAGCTGCTGAAATACTGATCTAGGGCATACATACCCATTTAATTTCACATACAGATATGGCATGTGTCCATCAAAATTCAACTACACCGTAAAAGCCAAAAAGCAATTCAGTCTTAAAAATACCGTACAACGAGCACCACATTTTGGCAAAGATTTCTGTATGTTCCATTACAGAGGATAGATATTTAATCCATTACTCTTGTGGAAGAAGTCTTCTCAATTCATGAAATATTCAATTTATCTTTTTTCTATTACTCCTAGCCTGCCTCTGCATCTGGTTTATATCTGACAATGTGTACTTTAGGTTTGACTATTGTATTATTATAAATATATTGCACATAAATTCAAAATTAAGAGCAATTGTGTTTTGTGAAGTATATTGTGTGTACATCTGGAAACAAATGACAGAGAAGGGTTTAGTGGTTTTGGTTCACATAGATTCCAATGAACTAAAGAATACTGTCAAGCATTTAAACTTGCATAAATTCAATCTTGGTAGTATATATAAAACATGGGCCCCAGAATTTTTTTTAAGTGACATGTAGGACTGAAGTACCACATTCAGGCTGTGTGGTACTTCCCATGATACGGCTGCCTTTAAAATTTGTTAAAACTACATGCAATTGCCGTTCTTTGGCCTAAAATGTTCCACACCAAGTGGCTATGATAGATTCAAGCTTTTAAACTTGATTTTGTTTCATGAAAATTTAAGTCAAAATGACTGTTCTTGGATTGAGAACATTTGAAAACCATGGATATTGTTTTTCTTATGTCCATTTGACTTGCGATCTTTCCTTTCTGAGCTACAAAGCTTTACCTCCTCTCTGGCCCTGACTCAAAAGAATGAAAATTCAGGAGGAGAAGGTTTCACATCAAATCTCTTATGACATCTGAAAATTTGCTCAAGATATAAACCTTGGCAAAATGAAAATTACAGTTTACAGACACTCATTAGTGAATGCTTAGCCTTGTCCCATCCTGCCCAGAAAGCTTTACCCACAATATGTGTGGTGTGCTTACAGCCTAGGGTGTAACGACTGTATCTACAGTCTGCACCAGCCTGGACAGAGGCAAAGATCTCTTCTACCGGATCCTACAGGAATCCTTTTCTAAAACGTACAAGGAAGAGATACAACCTGCACAGTCCAAATGAAGAGGGGTCACAAGCTGGGCTTGCAGAAGCATAGTAACAACATAGGCAGCACAAGCAGCAGGGGGAAGAGTAGATACTGCATTTAAAGTCTAGAAACAGTAGGTTTAGTTGCAAGCTGTTCAAACAGACTGACCACCTGTGGGAAGAAACTAGGAACAGAGGTGAAATGACACCCGACAGAACCGAAATTTATCATCTTTGTACAAATGAATTATGACACGGTATGGTCGTTGATTCTACATCTCCTGCAATTGTTTCCAGAGGATTCAACTTTATACAGTACACTTTCACAAGTGCAGTACAGTTACTAATAAACTCTCTCCCCGCGTACAAACTAACCAGTATTTAATCTGATAAAGAAATCCTAGTAAGAACACCCACTACTAATTTTCTTTTTTGACATTTCTTAAATCCCAACCACAGCATCCGACTTCTTCACCAATATTAGTAAGTCTGCAGGAGTTAACAATTGTTTCTGTTTTCACAAGAAAAAATGGCACGTACAAGGATCAAACTCAAAAGTATTCACCAGTTTTGGATGCTCAACCTGAGGCAACATAAAATAATTTCTCCTGGTTCAAAGTTCCTGATGTTGTTTCATTCGTTCCATAGATTTCAGCTGTTTAGCTCCTGGATATCAAGCCAGATTAAGGAATACACAACTCCTCATGTACTGTAAGAATCGGTTTCTATGGACACAGCACCACACATAAGCTTTCTGAAGGCACAGGAATAGAATTCAACTCTCCAAAAAGGCACTTTTCTGCCGTAACCATGAAATCACCTTCCCATTCTTCCCATAGTTCTCATCCTCATTTGTAACACACTCTGCAACAAAGGAGGCAGGAGTTGCTGTACTTCACAATCAAGATATGCACCCAAGTTGTTCCTGTGCATGGTATGGAGAACCTACAGAAGAAAAAGAATGCAGCAGCATAGCTGCAGATGGCCGTAATATATATTCTTGTGATGAATTTTTTTTTCTGGGCAGTTCTATTGTATAAGACAGAACACTGCTTTAAAGAACTAGAAACATATGTACAGCACAAGTGACACTATCAAATGATTGAGACGCTAAGCATAGGAAGTTTGTTTAAAAAAAGGTCAAAGAAAACTGAATTAGTAACAGACGTTTTGCTGAGCTCTACTTTCATTTTAGGGACATAGTGGAAAAATTTTCAAGTTCTTTGTGCGCTCTTTCAGCCCTAACATTATCTTTCCACAGTGCAACTATAGATGAGACAAACTACAGAAAAGCAACTGCTTTCATTCATCAAGCTGATTAGCATTAAGTAGTTGAAGACAGGTTAAATATTTTGCAATATTAATACATTAAAGTATCCTCATACAAAAGTAGCATCAAGATTAAAATAATGTATTTCAAATGTAGTTTTAGTTCTGACACTGAATTACTTTAAAGTTTTTGCATATGCATTATAAGGTAACTCATTCCCTGCTCCCCTCCATTTGGCCAAGACAAAGTTATGCAGCTAGAATATTAAATACAGTTCTTCATGTCTCCTGCATAGTTGGGAGTAGTTGATTTGCTTTGAATTTTAATGATAACTGTACTTGGAAATTTTGGTACCCTTATCTTAATTTCAGTGTTAAATCCAAGCAAGCTAGGTACTATGCATTTCTTTATTAAACTGGAATCCATTAAGGCTGTGAAGGTATTCCTGGCTTGTGGATTTACTATCTTTGCTGAAAAGGCAAGATACTGGTTCCATTGCTCATTCTAAAAATGCAGTAAGTTTCTGCAGATGTCCACATAAAAGGGACAAACAGGAAAAAACACACATAGTCTGTGTGATATAGGCAGTTATTGCCAGCAGGTTGGCATGAAAGCACGGCTCCGAGTCATGTCACAGTTGCTATAAGGACATATTTAGATGATAAAAAAGCGTAAAAGCAAAGCATTATCATATTGTATTTAGAGTGGGCTATCAATTGGCAATATATGAACTTAATTTAGCAATTAGATTTCAGAATTCAAGTAATGTACTGTTACAGTAAACTAGTGCCAATCACAGTAAGCCTACTCCCGGCATACAGTTGGATTGCAAGGGTTAACTGGTAGCTTCTGACTGCACCAGAATCTGCCATACACAACTGTGTGAGGTTCCAACCACTGTTTACTGACTCACACCCTGGCTGTAAAAGCTAAAATTTTATATAAAGGAAGAATATACTGACTTCTTGCAGAAGATGAAGTAGGGAATGAGGAAACAGCACCTAACTTCACCTGAAGGTAAGGAAGAAAAAGTCTTAATTATGTGAAGAAATAACCCTGTCCCAAGCACTATCAGCAATCTATGAATTAAGAATAGCTTGTTTCCATTCTGATTTAGTGATATAAGCATTCATGCGGTAACTATCATTGTAACATCTGAGCACACTTTACAATTACAGTAGCAAACATTACCAGCTCTCTCAAATAGGAGCCCACGCTCTGATGCCCTCCAGCACAAAACTGGTTTGCCTTGAGAATTGCAGAAAACTATACAAGTAGTTTATGGAGACCAGAGACTTCCTGAACCAGATGTTACCAGAGAGCTGGAGAAATGAGTTCTACATCTTGTTCTCATTGTGAGCAAGTTTTGGCCCAGAAGATGATCCTTCTTCGATATCTGACTGTGGTGTTCAAAGCAAAATCTTTGGCATGCACCTGTCTTTCTAATGCTTCAAGAGGCAAAACAAACACATCAAAGGTTATTCACAGGTCTACAGCACTGAACATACCAAATCCTCTGCTGTTACTGGTTCTCCTTTCTTGTCATTAGCCACCACCACTTTCCCCAGCCTCTCCTTCATGTCTTGCAGGCTGGTGGTAAGTGCCAGAATGGCCATAATTTCACTCGCAACAGCAATATCAAACTGAGCCTGTAAAATAGAAATGAGTATCATGAACCAAATCAAAGTCAGGTCAAATATTCAGAGCGAATTGTCAGGAATAGACTCAGGAAAGACAGATTTCACACTGGAATTCAAACAAATTCTAAATTGTAACCCACAGCTTTCAGGATTACTCAGACTAGACTAACTTCAAACACTTTGTTTATAGTTACTCATTAATGTTCTCCATTACACTTCATTTACTTGGGGACCGGTCTTGCAGAGTGCTTAGCCCCTTGGCTCACATTATCCTTAGCAGAAGCTCCCTGAAGGACCAAGAATTTTTTTCTGTGGCAACAAAGAAAATTACCAGATGTGTTTTGAGCTTTACTGGCATAAGCACAACATTGTGGGTGTTTTTGGTTTGGGTGGTTTTTTTTTTGTTTGTTTTTGTTTGGTTTTTTTTGGTTTTTTTGGTTTTTTTGTTTTTTTTTCCCCTGCAATGCTCTCCAAAAGTTTTTTTATTCTGGTTTCAAAAACATTCTTGTTACATTTGATCATTCTTTTCCTACATAAACTCAAATTTTAGTCTATGCTGCTAGGTCTTGTGCTTGACCTATGATAATGTAAAATACATTTTCTCTTTTTTTTTTTCTTTAAATGAACAAACATATAAGTTAACCAAAACTATATGTTGCATCAGTTCTATCACTCTTGTAGAAATACATTTATACTGTGCAGTATTTCAGCACACTGTAAGCTGTCCTTACGACTTTTTAAGAGCTTGCAGTACACTTTAGCAGTGTTTGTGGTAATTTACTATTAGTAAAGCCCAGGTCACATGCTGTCAGAACATAAAGAGAGAAGAAAGACAAAGTCACTAATGTATTACATGATAGGAGTGCCAATGTTGGGGGTGAACGAGAACTACATCTTCTTTAGTAATCTCTCCAGCAATTAAAGTCTACACAAAAATGTAATAATTGACATCCTACTGCTATCTATGTAAAAAAAGCCCCCAGGACTGTTTCTATGTCAGACCTCTACCAGATGTATCCCATACTGACTAGCACCAGAGGAATCTGGTCAAATTGAGGGCTTTGCCTGTTTTTACAAAGCATCTACATAGAGAATTGTTAACATATAACTTACCACTCCTATCCATTTGCCTAGTACTTTAACAGCTTCTTCCCTTTTTTAACTCACATTCCTGCTTTTAGATTCTGTCTTGTCAGCTACAGCCCAAAGCAGCCCTATTCAGGCTGACCTCTATGTACCTGCATAATAGTCAAAACTTCTGAAGACCCCCGGAGTACTTTTCTGCATTGGGCACGGACAGGGAGAGATATATACCATGGAAAACAAAAAATAAACCTGTAATTGAGATTTTCAGCATAGGAATCCAAATGAAATGCTGAAATTACAAAGCAGACTTTCAGTATTCCCTGGAAGGGGTTCTATGCATAACAGAATAGCTGGGTACACCATGAACGTTGTTAGCGTTGCAATGACATGGATGCTACTATCTTTTCTGAAGTTAAGAATGTCCCTGGTAAGTCATTGCAGCATATGTAGGACAGGAAATTAGCCTGAGAAATCTATGCCCAACCCATATACTGGAATATTATCTAATTGCATCAGTATGTTTATCATGAGACCAGAAAAACGGGTTTTTATTATCATTATTTCTATATAAACCCAAAAGGACAGGAAAAACAATCCAGGTAGATGCTCAGAGTGACATAATATTTAATTGAAAAAACAGGCACAAAAGACTGTACTAGCAGGTGTTATTTTAACTCTAATAAGCTTTATACACCTATGAAGTGCTGACAGAAGCCTTAGCTGTAAAGTCAGTTCTCTATTCATGAAAGGATCCACCCACATGGATTCAATTGCAGGATCAAGGGCATCAGTCATGTAATACTCTTTAGAAACCACAGCATCCCTCTTCATTAAAATGCAGACTTTTGTGCCTGCTGTGCTCTGCTATTTTATACAGGTGTCATTGATTTTAAGAGTGCTACAACATCACTCCAAATATTTATAAAATGCATCTGTTAACTATGAAGTGCTGTTTTCTCTGGATCTCTGGCTAGGCTCTGAAATGAGTTTTCCTAACTGTTAGCTCTATTTCTCGAGTCACTAAGCCCATGCTAAAATGTGAATGGATATGCACCAGTCCAACATATTAAAATTGAAAGCATCAAGGTCATTTTAGCCAAAACAGTACAGAAGCAACATTTGACAGCCATAGTTAACTAGTACTCTATAATAAAACAGGCCACTTTTAAGTCAGCAGCACAGTGGTAAAATGCAGCACAATAAGGCTGGCAAAACCTGGCTCAAAGCTAATAATCACCTTGAGTCACTGAAACATAATCTATGTTTCAAATCTAAACATAAAGAAACATCTCAAGCACTGAACGAACTGACATACCAAATATAATATTTTGCAATCCCAGTCCATTATCAGGATGATATTAGCTAATACTGAGTTTTCTGTAAGTTATAGACAGAAAAGTCTCTACCCCATGTATTCAAAACCAAAACAAGCAAGCACTTCTAGTGGAAGGTGTCCTTACTTTGAAGGACTTTAAAGAAGTAAGAAAAATCATACAAACTAACCTTGTGAGACCATAAGGGCACCTTTTATACTCATAGGATGACAATGTTGAACACCTAACATATGCAATTTTTTCAAGTGCTTTCAACACATTGTGCAACATGCATTGGTTTCTGTTTCTGAAACTCCAGACTCAGTTACTCGTTAACAAAATGAGTTTCACTGCAAGAATACTACACAACAGCAACAGATGTTGGCATTGCAACTCAAAGAAGTATGCTGAAAGAACTGCAGAAACATCTCTTAGCCTGTAAAGCAAAGTCCATCCAGAATGAGACATATTAAGTGCCTTTACATACCTGACGGGCAAATCCTTTCTCTGTATTTGCCTGCCCAACTGTTATTTTGCGCAGGAATCTGTCATTTGTATCCACCACTGAAATAAGGGAATAGCAAAAGCAAAACATGTTAACAAGGACTCGGGGGTCTGGGTTTTTCCAGGCATACCTGTTGTTATACATTTAAGATTCAGCTGCTTGAACAGTGTAACAAGACAGCCACACTCCTGCATGTTAGCATTAGCACTGACTTGGTTTCTCCCTTCTACTTGATACTATTAGATGACAGGTTGAAATAACTCAAATACAATTTCCCTGAACAGTATTTGAAGCTAACAGATTCTTAATATTCTAACACACAAATTAATATTTTACCTACATAAGAAAAACCTGTCCTAGTAGATACAATGCACCTCAGACCTACTTCAAATCATTTGCTTCATCATTGGCTTGTTAAGAATTGATTTTAAGATTGCATGATGTAGGTTAAAGTTGGTCTGTTTCTCTTTTAAAGGATGATTATGTTGTCAGATTGGTTCTTCCAGACAAGTCACTTTCTTGCACATCACAGTAACTAACTCCACATTTAGTTGCACAGCATTCAAAGGACTTTTTTTTCAACTGCCAAGATCAACCATCTGCTATTTAACACAACTTCAATTTCAGACAATTGTATTTCTAACCTGGAAACACTTTTGGTGTTGCAAGGGCATGTCCAAACCATCCTGCGGAATTGCTAACTTCACTAACAATCATTGCAAGCCAAGTCCTCCAATTCTGCACTGACAACACTCAACTTCAAATGTTTGCAGGAACGAAATGGAAAGACTGAGAATAAGTGAAGAGCTCTCTCAACTGCTGAGAACTGATCAGGATGTTTCTTAGGAAGAAACACTAGGAGAATGTTTCTGTTTGTTAGAAAATGAGACCAAACTCCAAGACCTCTCCTTTCCAGGAATGGCAACCCCTACAGAATGCAAAAACAGGCTCCCTCTTTCTTATGGGCACTTTAGCCCTGCAAATATTTCAATTTGCACCAACCCTAAAAGAAAGGGTGGAAGGTACTCGTTTGAGATCAATTATATGAAGTTTAATGAGGCCAATGTGCACTTCGGTCACAACAACCCCATGCAACGCTGCAGGCTTGGGGAGGAGTGGCTGGAGAGCTGCCCGGCAGAAAAGGACCCGGGGGTGCCAGTTGACAGCCGGCTGAACATGAGCCGACAGTGTGCCCAGGTGGCCAAGGCGGCCAACAGTGTCCTGGCCTGTGTCAGAAATAGTGTGGCCAGCAGGAGTAGGGAAGTGATCGTGCCCCTGTACTCGGCACTGGTGAGGCCGCACCTCGAATACCGTGTTCAGTTTTGGGCCCCTCACAAGAAGGATGTTGAGGTGCTGGAGCATGTCCAGAGAAGGGCAACGAAGCTGGTGAGGGGTCTAGAGAACAATTCTTATGAGGAGCGGCTGAGGGAACTGGGGTTGTTTAGTCTGGAGAAGAGAAGGCTGAGGGGAGACCTCGTCGCTCTCTACAACTACCTGAAAGGGGGTTGTGGTGAGGTGAGTGTTGGTCTCTTCTCCCAAGTAACTAGTGACAGAACAAGAGGAAATGGCCTCAAGTTTAGCAAGGGAAGGTTTAGAATGCATATTAGGAAAAATCTCTTTACGGAGAGAGTGGTCAAGCATTGGAACAGGCTGCCCAGGGAGGTGGTGGAGTCACCATCACTGGAAGTGTTCAAAATACATGTAGACGAGGCACTTCAGGACATGGTTTAGTGGGCATGGTGGTGTTGGGTTAATGGTTGGACTTGATGATCTTAAAGGTCTTTTCCAACCTCAGTGATTCTGTGATACTCTTGATCAGTTCAGCCTCTAGCTTGGCAATCAAGTCAATCCTCTGCTGGATGTAGATTTCAGCCATGTTCATTTAGAAGCAGAGAATAAAGGATCCTCCAGAGAAGTTGTCTGTACTGAAGGTCAGTGAAGTGACTGCTTTTCCTGGTGCTTTTGGAGATTAACAAATTTGTCTGTATAGAAAAGGACAGCATAATTAACCCAAGAACAAAAGGGACTTTGAATCTCAACCCTACACAGCCCCAGTTCAGGGTTGTGAGTGAGCTGGGAGAAAAGCAAGGTTTAAGCTGCTTCCCCTTCTTGGGCATTTCACATGGGGCTGTTGTAAATACCATATGTGCCTTTTTCCCACTACATGGTATTTAGGTCCCTAATTTCTTCAAGAATTCCATTGAAGGGATGGTGCAAGGTTAACTCAGTCTGGTTTCTATTTATATACAGTCACACTCTAAAATACTACAGTACCGCCAGAAATTGCAGAACAGAGCCCAGTAGATGGAAGCAGTAGCCTCATACCAAGCTGTGGTACCATATGCCACCATGAAGCCATATGGCAAGACGATCTCTCAAGCACAAACTTACCTCCTAGGAAGCTCAGTCTCACGAGCAGCCTTAAGCAGACCTGTATGTCTTTCCCGCCCACCCAGGCACTGCTGAGAGCAGGAACTTGCCTTCCCACCAGGCTGGACAGCCAGTGGGCTGCTTTTTATCCGGCCCTTCCTAGTGAAATCAGGTAACCTGAAGACCCTTTCCATGAAATTATAACTACCCCTGCAACTCTTTCTGGTTATCAGGATACGCTGGCTTTCTCACCATGGTCAGAATTCATTCTCCAGGAAGACTGAAATAGCTGCACTTAGAAGTAGTAAAATAAATTTTTTTTTTTGCCACAGAAGCAATTTTTCCTTCTCCAAATTTTCCCTCTTCCTTACCCTAAGTAAACGTTTCAGGAAAGTTTAAGTTCAACCAAGTGTTAGGTTTAATGTATCTGCTTCCTTATCCTCTCGAGATACAAACAGGATCTCGAACACCAGGGGAAGGGTAAGTAGGGGGAAGTTTTCCTTCTTTTCAGTATGTTGTACCTGTTCAAGTTAGTATAAGATGACAATGAACTTTAAGCTTGTGACACTTCTAAGGAAACAGGTCCTAACTAAAATTAATTTTCAGACAATCTGATAGCTTTCTCTTCTGCCCTACAAATTCCTTGGTATGTAACAAGCTTCACAGACATATGGATTGCAGAAACAGTCTCAAATAAAACATCTCCCAAGTTATCTAAAACATTCCTAAACCCACTTTTTTTCTGTAATTTTTAACCCTGTAGGATGTACATTCGTATTTCACTAACATTCTTTGAGATGAATTAAATAACTCACTTGAGGTTAACAGCTGTTGAAGTAATGTTGCCTCCTCCCAAACCAGTGCTGATAAAAATGGTGGGTTGTATTACACTAAATATTTATATTACCCCTTCATCCTAATACAGGTCTCTTCCATGTAGACATACTGTGTGACTAATAAAAAGCATCTTATGTCACAACCCCCAATATTATCTTGAGAAAAATATCCCAAGTCTGAGATGACATGCACACAAAGGGCACAGTAAAGCACAGCCAAGACTCCTCACTTCTCAACAGATTCACCTTCTTTCTCTGAGCATCACAATACCTTCCATTTAACAATGATTTTGAACTAATAACTTTGGTTATTGGTTATTTGGTTATTATTTAAGAACTTAGGAAGCAAATAAAATCCAATGGAATTTAGCTCAAAATTTGATGCAGAGTTTACTTGCTTAAAAAAGAAAAGGAGAGATACAGGAGTTGAGGTAAACACTAAAAATTAACCCAGCACTAGAATGGGAAAATGCAAAGGGGAATTTGAGTGGATATTGGTTTTCTTGGCACCCATAGTCGAAACCACACCACATCTTTCACCTCTTCTTCCTAACAAAGCAAACAACTCAAGACAGTTTAAAAATAGGAAAAAGACGTAATCCCCGAGGCCTAGTTAGTCTCTGAGCTACCCAGACTGCTGAGCGGGAGAGGATGAGGGACCAAAATCAAGTAGAGTAAGTACAAATAATCTAAAACCATAATAGTCATAGTAAAGAAAAGAAGGGATAAGGTCTGTAAAATGCATAAAAAAGCTGTTTTCATATGTTTTAAGATGTATTATCTAATGTGAGAGAGACAAGGGACATACTTAAACTATCAGAGCAACCCACCTTTCAGAATACTAGCAAAGTCTCTTGAGTTACTGCAGATATTTCACCAAGTTTAGAGCAACATACTGCACCCAAATTTGTTATGCCCCTACACTTCCCACTGGCAAATGGGTTGTTCTTACAGTCAGAGAGCAGAAACAGCTCTGATTCAGGTAAAATGAAGCAAATTAGGAAATAAGTTATGATTAAATCCAAGCTGAAGTGAGGCTTTCTGACTATGTACCTCTTTGCCATGTTATGGTAGATGGGTCAATATCAAGGCGCGCAAATTTGCTGATCTCTTCTTCTGTTAAAGTCCCAGGATCAGTCTTGTTTATTCCCAGCCTCTACACAAAAACAAGTTAAAGAAATGCAATAAAGTGGCTTTTTTTGCTTCAAAAGGTATAGCTGCTCTGGCTTATCAACCACACTTTCAGCAAGCATTTTGGAAAGAAGCATGTCAGGACCAAAACTATTTAAAAAAATCAAACACATAGGAAAACACCTGTAACTAAAATAGGGGCAAATGCAGATGGAGAAACAAAACAAAAAGGGAGAAATACTCATAGGCAATTAAATTAACAATCTCTTTCTTACACAGAAGAGACTCTTACTGAAAATCAAAGAGAAAATTCAACATTATCATTTACTAGTAAAAAGATAATTAATTGCTTGCTCTAGTTTGTGGACATCTTTGAAAGACCCATGCATTGTCTTGCCTGAATCATCTTTGAATGAAATAAAAACTTCTCCTTTAAAAGCCCATCATCAATAAACTCAGTCACTTATAACAGATGAGCCAATACCTCCTGGCTTTTATGGATTCACTATTTCAGCACCACCACCTTTTTTTAGGTGAATCTACATAAACACAGACAGAAAACTGTGTTTAAGAACTTAGTCTTAAAAAAAAAAAAATCTTAATTTTCTCTGGCATTAGAAAGCATTCCTCAGGGAATTAACCAATGTGCTTACACTTCAGGATTAAAAATAAAGCAAATCTGAAAGACTACAAATATTCAATGTCAAACAGCTACCAGTTACTTCCCTATTTAAACCAACAGTCATTTCTAGATGACTGAGAGTTTTAAAACTGTTTTCATGATGCTCCTTTCTGAGGATTGGTCTCGTTTTGAGAGTATTAAAACTGTTTTCATGATGCTCCTTTCTGAGGATTGGTCTCTCAGACCGTGAGGGCCGCTTTCAAATCCCGATGCAGGCAGTGGGGCATTTTCCACTGTACTGAGAAGGGCAAAAAACTGTTGAGAACAGCTTGTAGGTTTTGACACCTGGTACTCCTAAGACTTTTCAGCCCAGTTTTAATGAAGAAAGGCTTATGTCCTCAACTGCCAGTCCTTTTTTCTATCCAGAAAAACCCTACCCAGATTTTTGTACTCTGTTGGCCAATTTGACATAGTTGGGGGATAGTTTCTTACAAATTCTATGAAAATAGGCAGATTGAGAAAGGAGCAATATCCCACGAGCATCTTCTACTGGGGGATGGCAGTCAGAGTTCAGTGCTCATCCCTCCTGCCTGGGGAATCCAGCATTTGCCCAGATACATTTTTCCAGAGCATTTTGCCACAGAGGGTTGACAGCAAAATTTTCAGTCATTTTATAACTTTCAACTGCTGCAAGGAGGGCTGGGCAATGGGACTGCAAAGGAAGCAGCCTACCTCTTCCAGGGTCTCAGAAAAAAGCTGACTGATCTGGATGCTGATGGGAGGAAGTAAGATGCAGAGCTGATGTGGGACAGGAGACAAAGGAAAGACTGGGATAGAAACAGCTAAAGAGAGGAGGTAAGATAAGGAGGTCTTAGGCTAATAATTACTGGGAAAAAGAGAAAAAAGCTGAGGAGCAGGGGAATGAGAAAGGTAGCTCCCGACACTAGACAAGGAGTTTGAAAAGAAAAAAAATTCGCATGGGACCTTCTGTAATTACAAGTCCAAACCACACATGTAAGGAAGGAGATTCAATGTCAATATTCCTCTTTTGAAAAAACAGTAAAGATACTTTTTCACATTTGATTTTTTTTTAGTTATAAGGAATAATTATACTAAACATAATTCACAGCAAAATAATTCAGTTATGCTGGAAATTATGATGCATGTATTTGAATGTTATAGAGACAAATTTTTTTTTTACTGAGTTGCAGCTCATGGGAAGAGAGAGAAATCAATTTCAACTGCAGAGATAGTTGGTATGTCCCAAATAACCAAAACGCTCCCCCTCTTGCCCTACCTGTTACCCTACACGCACTGGAAACAAGAACAAAACGAAAATACTCCAAAGTTCTGATGGAAAATTCTGAGATCTACTCTGCCACAGAGTCAAGCAGGCATCACCCACATTTTAGTTTACTGGCGTTCAAATGAGCAGTGCAAAAGCTTAAAAGGTTATGAGAAACTATTTATTTTTTTAACTGAAGCTGGTATTACCTCTATCTTCCTTTCCACCCCCCAATTCCAAGTCCATGCTTGACAGCTATCCATTGTCATCTGGTGACTCTGAAACACCGGTCAGGACTCAAAAGCCAACAACAAACAGGGAACTGGACACAGAAGACTGAAGCTGTCCTTAAGGGTCATATTCAAGGGGCTCATATTCTCCTTCCCCTAAGCTAGTGGACTGTGTTGCCCTCTAGGTATTTATCAGAATGGCAGCCTCAAATCCAGATACGTCACTCCTATGTGAATTGCTCAGGAAGCACTTCTGGAAGCATTCAGGAAGCAAGATGGGATGCAAAAATATACTATGCACACAAATGTACTTCTACCTCTCAAAGGAAGAACACAGTGAAATTTACATCAACAAAACCCCAGAAGTATATTCTATAATAAACTTTCAAAACAAGAAAATATTGCAAAACCAAAGAATGTGAGCTTTCAAATGTGACTTTACCGTAATAGGAAAAGCATTGTAAAAACTCTAACGTTAATATTTCATCAGGAAATACAGAGCATTTAAAAACATTATTGGTTTATTTCAGAATAAAAGAATAGCAAAAATGTTGGTTATGAAAATAATATCAGACCCAGACCTCCTATTACTTCAAGGATGATGCTTTCAGAAAAAAGCCTGGACTTGATAAATTCATGAGGGAGGTTTATAAAACTCGTTCCCATACATCGAATAATTTTAAACAAGTTGTGTAAGAGTGTATGTTTTATGAAGAGATACTGAGATACTGTAACTGAAGAGAGACTACACTTACTCTCAGACGGGCAAGCTGAATAGCAGAAAATCCTCTCATGCCATTAACTACTGGAACCAGTCTGTTATACAAAGCCTAGAAAAAATACACAAGAAGTTAATGAAAGAAAAAGTTACAACCAGGAAATAGTTAAATAAAAAGCCGGTGTTTTTATTTTATGCAGACTAATTTCAGTAAGAATTTCCCAACCACATAAGTTGTGGACTTCTAGTTAGCAATTTAAAAAAAATTCTGAGAAGGTGGTAGGCTTTTGAGCAATGCCTATGATTTAACAGTCTAAATCCAATTACCAAAATTACTGTGTTTCTATGTTTCACCAAAAAAAAATGTATTATTTTTAAAATTGGGAACCCTTTAAAACTTTAACCAAGGTCCAAATTATTCAAACTATAACCATCATTTGCAAACTGGCCTAAATGCACTTTTGCGTCATACCAAGTAAAGGGGCTATGACAACCCTGCTCAGTTTTAACACCATAGACAAAAAACAGGAGGCTCCCGCCCTTACTTTCTCTTTTCCCTTTAAAGACTCGAGTTACCATTTGTGTTAACGTCACAACAGAGTTAAAGGAGGGAAGAGGATCTAGTTTATTTTCCCCACAATCCCTTCTTTTTAAGGTAGATCGTACCCCTCAATACATCACATGCAATTTTTACCTTTAAAAGGAATATTCAAATTAGAATAGGATTATATATAGAGAAAACATCTTTTATTAGACTATTTAGTACAATCTGAAATAGTTGACAATGCCCTGGGCATAAGATCCTCATCTTAAAAACTATGACAGCTATTTGCCAGAAAAATACATTCTATAAGCAAAATTTCCCAGCAGAACATAGAATGGCTTCAGCAATAGTTTCTGTTCACGTGGTGACAATATAAAAACATAATCAACTTATTTTGCTTTGAAATGCAGTTTATTGAAAAAATGAAGAGAAAAAAATGTCATGCGGATACCAGAAAACAATTCTCACCTTATCAGATTGAGTATTCTCATGCAAGATCCTAGAATCAATAGCAGCAGCCAGCAAATTATTTGCAGCAGTTATAGCATGAATATCTCCCGTCAAATGAAGATTGAACTAGAAGGTGAAAACAATAAAATCTTTTTATAAGAAACTATTTAATTCAATTTATTAATCTCAGACAGATTAGCAGCAACAATCCTTGCTATCTCCTTGAGGTTGCAGCTCAACTCCACCTGTCAGCGTAGATGAAATATTATCGGGCTGAAAATACACCAAGCTATATGAAGGACTTGTTTTCACCCAAGTAAAACATGGTAAAACTACCCTTAGTTTAGCCAAAGCAAGCCACAGACATCTTTATTCTTTGCTAAATGATCCAAGAATGAAAAGCCCAGGGCTGCGGTTCCACATCATTAACACTAGATCAGCTTACTGACAGTGTTTACTAATTGACCTGGACCAGAGGTGCGCGTTTCTGCCGAACCCCTTGGGGCGCAGCGTGGGTGCTGGCTTCGGGGGTGTACGCCAGCTTTCTGCTGGCCGCGGGAGGACGGCCCGTAGCTGATGAGGCACGAACTTCGCCAATACAAAGCTCGTCCAACAAAGTTTCGTGGAAGAATCTGAGATCAGCAGTTTAGATTAAATTAGGACTTGTGCTACGTAGGTACCGTATTTTTTTTGCCTACCTCTGACAGAAGGAGGCGGAAGGCCAGTTCTAAGCGTGCTGCAGCACTGACCGCAGAGGGGCACCGGCAGCCACCGGCAGGAGCCCTCGGCCGTGCTCACGCTCACGTGCAACCGGGGGTCAAACCCGTAACTAAGTGCTACCTTCGGGCTCGGCTCGGACAAGCTGTACGCTTTCAAGGTGGTACTTCACCAGTTCGGGCCACGGAGTGGTTTTCTTGAGCTCTAAATTAGACCCTTTTGGGGTGAAACCATCGTGCACTTCCGAAGCAGCACTGCGAATATATGCATAAGCTTAGCCATACTATCCTTACGTGCCCCACTGCCCAGAGCATCTGCTTTACTGTTTCACACTCTGCAAACCAGCACAAAACCCTGCTGCCGGCTACAGCATGCTGAAGCCCCTGGGCGCACAGCTAAGCCTGCTGAGGACAAGGGAGGGCGGCTGAGGAGGGCAGCCTGCTCGGATGGCAGCAGCCAGCCGACAAGAAACACTACACACGGGGCCGCATTTCATCTCTGCCCTTGGCCCCGCCTGTCCATAGACGCGTGGGTCACGTAGCTTTACAGCGGGAATGTTTGCTAGGCAAGGGTGCACGCTCGCTCGGGGTATCGCTATTTTCACAGTCAGAGTATTTTGAAAGCGTGCACCCAGCCGGCTCCTTCCAAAGCTGGCACGCGATTTTCAGAAGCCCTCGAAGAGAGCGAGGGACGACGCCACCTTCAACAGAAATCTGTTTGCTTGTGGGTAGGGGAAAGCTGCAGATTAACTTAGAGGTAAGAAAACAATTCTTGCACTTCGACAGGGCTGGGGCCCCGGGGGCACCACCAGCTCTGACTGTCCCTGCCCGGCCCCCCGGGGCTCCCCATGGCCCAGGACCCCATGTCAACCCCCCAGGGCTGTCAGCCCCTGCCCCAGCAATGCCGCAGCAGGGCCGGTCTCCAGTTCCCCACAGCCCTGCCCAGCCACGGGCCCCACCAAGACAGGCCCACCCGCAGGCCCATGGCCCAGCCTGGCCTCGGCCCAGCCCCACGGAGGTGCCCCATGCCTGGGGCTGTCCCGCTGCCCCAGCCCCTGCAGCTCCCCAACAGCCGGCACCTGTGACAAACAATTTTTCACAGCAGACTCCTCTGTTTCACCACTGCTGTTGAGCCAAATCATCTTGCTTTTACTATCTAGCAAAAGTTGTGCTATTCACCCCTCCACAGTACTCTGGGCATGTCTCACACTACCACAGGAGGATCAGTCTGGCTAAAAACAAGTTCATTTCACCACACTCGGTGACTTCTGCTAAAAAGAAATATTAAATCTACATTTGAAAAAGAAATTTCCTCAACCCACCAGCCCTGGGCCTTCCTGCCTTTTTCTGCTCCACCAGAAAAGTAATGCTTTCTCATTCTCTTTTGATTCTCTATCTATTGATGTGGATGTAAAAGGAAAAAAATAGCAGTAGACAGCTCTTTGTCTTTTAGGTTACGTGTGGATAGCAGGCTTTCTTCCGAAGCATCAGAAGGATAGCTGAGATATTACAAATATGTGCAGTATCTGTGCAACATTTTTGCACCCCCACTCTGCAGCACCTCCACGTCACACAACGGGCATGTGGAGATGGCAAGGACCATGTGGAGATGGCAAGGACCACCTCAATTCTCCAGGCAGACCATCGTCACCGACCAAGTGCTGCAGTGGCCACCTCTGCCTGCCCACCCCTTCCAGAGGGACAGGGACTTGCTGCCTCCCCCGCTGTCTCACCTCCTCCATGGGAATCACTTGAGCGTAACCACCGCCGGCTGCTCCACCTGCACAGGAAAGCACATGGTGACATCAGACCCACACTGGTTTTGAAGAACAACCACCCTTAAACACACACAGTGAAACATACAGTGTTGGTGACACATTTCTCAGCATTTTGATTTCTATTAGGGGATCAATGATGCACCCAAATAAACAGGATTTCCTTAAACCTTGCTGACTTCTTTCAGCAGGCAGTAAAAGGGGAATTCTTGATCTGAAATGAAAGGCTATACATGATGGCTGGCCCAGACTTTGGCTACATAAGGGCTACCCTCTGCTCTGCCCAGATTTAGGACACAGTCATGCACATGCAGCTGTTGGGGGAAAGATGTAGCAGTCACGAGCAAGCACTGCTTCGGAATGAAACCTTCACACCCTTGCCTGAGCGCTCCTTCCCCACTGCCTCTCAGGGTACAGGCAAAGGAGTTTGCTGTAGCCTATGCACAAGTTGAGTGGAGAGATTAAAGCACTCACATGCACCAGTCTTGGCCGAGAAGCACCAAGCACCAGGAGCCTTCCAGCTGAAATCAAACTTGTTAACTTAAACTTCAGCAAAGCAAAGTAGAGCAGATGGGGAGTGCTTGCCCAGTTAGGCACCAATCTCAGCTGAGAAATGGCAAAAAAAAGATTGCATTACTTTCTACCAGCATTGAAGATAGGCTTGAACTCTGGCTGGCTCTTACCTGGCCCTCAAGCTCTTAAAGGGTTTCTAGGCAAAAGGCAGTGGCCCACGATTAGGGGCAAAAACTCAGAAGAACAGAAAGAAAAGGTTCAGACCTAGCCAAATATATGATGCAGACACAGTTGAACCATACGCATAACTGCCAACTTCCTTAGCTTGGATATTTCCAATCAATACGACTGGATTTAGGACTCCTTCTCAAGGAAGGATTAAACAGTAACATTTAGAGACATCTTTAGAGAGTCTCCAAGCAGAGGAGTCACTGGAAGGGTGTGTACTCGCACAAAACTGCTCCTGGATAACACATTCCCATGCCCTTCGTTATGTTTGGGCTTTATCTGCATTATCAATACACGTTAAGTATACAAACATAGATATGAACCTTGCATGGGAAGAAACCTTTATCTATTAGTTATATACTTATCAAAAAATCCAGTATACTACCATTAGGACAATCCACTGAGATAATGAAGTAACTAAGGCATTATAAAAGACAAAAAAAGGCAAAAAGCGCACATTATTTCCTTTTAATCTGAATGTACCTTTAACTCCAAAAGTAGGTCCTTGGGAAGGTTGTCTCAGACAAGCAAAGGAATTAATGTTAAGGTGTGCAGTAAGCGCCTGAACGAGACCAATTGTGACTGTGCTTTTCCCCTCTCCTAGGGGTGTAGGGGTTATTCTAGCAAAACAAGAAAAAAGATTAATCACATTCTTTGCCGATGTCAGCCTGGCTAACGATATCAGAACTTACAGCTTTTGATTTCAACGAAGGATATTTGTACAGTAAATTTCAATAAGATTACTTTAGCTCCACAAAAATACTGCCACAGTGTTAGCCCCTAGCTCAAGCTGGAATGCTAATATACATGTGTCTTCAATTTACTATGATAGCAGAAAAAGAGAAGATTATTTTGGCAAAAGTTCTAAAAAGAATATCTTGAATTTAGACATTTTTATTACAGCACAAAAGTCTCACCAATTTCATTAACAAACCATCCATCAAGATACTCTGAGCATGTATTAATACTTTTCTGTAGTAATGCATGAGATGTTTTATTCCCACTGCTCAAACTTTGAATGAAATAATAGAATATTTTAAATTAAATAACCAACACTTCTGTTTGTAGAGCTCAGCTATCCCTCTCCAGCTTCCATGTCATCATAACCCTCAACAATGACAGATCAACTGCTTTTCAAATAAAACAGGACACAAAAGTCACTTCGTGCAACTGAAAATTATTTTATTGTATACTTATGTTGCGTGGTATTTTTGCAGATTTAAGGATGCTGAGGGACAATTACAACCACAGTCTGACCTCCCATACAAAAGCTCAGAAACCTCATGCTACAACTCCCACACCTAGACCATCATTGATCCAGGACAGAATTTTAGAAAGACATGCAGTCTCAAATCAGAGACTCTAACCTCCACTCAAAGACTCTATTCTTGTCCCTTTAATGAAGGGACAATGACAGATGATTTTGCAAGTAGAAAACTTCATCAGCCTTCTGTGAATGAGAGAGACCTCAGTTTAAGTGATGTCCTCCCTACTTCAAGGTCAGCACATTTGTTTATGATCCATGTTAAAAGTGTGTGTGAGGGTACTGGGGGTTTCCCCCCCCCCTTTTTTTTTTTCCCCTTTAAATTCCTTAAAGTGTGAACACATCTCATGTCTCCAAAATGCATTCAAATGATTTATTTGAGGCATAGCATTTTTCGTTCTGTCCGGCAAAAGAAGAAAGCCCCAGTCCTTTTTCCACTTTGGCAAAGTGTAACCATTCATATCTTTGCTGCCTTCACTACCTGCAGAGAAGCAAGTACCTTAGTGAAGCTGACATCAAGAACTAATGTTCATTCCCAAGGAAATACAAGTATGCACACGCATCCTAGTCAAAGGGGAACCCTTATCCTATGACCTCTTCAAAACTTGAGCTAAAACATTTAGCTGTAATTAGAAACACCTCCTTTCCCAAATAGTAGTTGTTCTAAGATAGTGCTATCCTCAGATCACAATTCAAACGGCATAAAAACATTACTACAAGTGCCAAATGCAAGGCAAAATTCGTGTTGCCTCCTTGCCTTTAAGATTCAGCTTAGTTCAGTTAGTACACAGATTGACAGAAACCCCGCTTTGTCCCCAAAAATATAAACACATGAAAAACATTAACTTGTCTCAAATATATCTTTTACATCACCATCCAATCCTAGGCTTTTTGTTAAAAAAAGAAGCCTTTGTTAGGTATGCCTACAAAAATTTGGGCAATAGGAGGCAAGCCAAATTAACAACTCCTATGCTGTTCTAGGAAAGAATTTTCCTATGCAGAAAAGTAATGTTTTAACTCAAGTTCCACGGAATCAATGGGATTTGTTACATCTCTAAGAGATTCCCTGAACTGAGACGCTTCAGAAATAGTACTTTGTCTACTGATAGCTTTGAACTACTCTAATATGACCATATAGTACATGGGTTACTTAATTTGGGCATTCCTTTTTAGTCACTTTTTCCATGTTTGTAACATCATGTTTGCAAATCATCAGATTCTAAAGCATCATCAATATTCGTCATCCCGCCTTGCTAGAGCCACACTCCCTTCACTTAGAAGAGAATTCACAGATTTTTTGCAAAACAACGATGTAGAGCCAACAAAAGGTGGAAGATTTAGAGCACATCCTGAGAAGAATCCATTTTATCTACTCTCAAAAGCAGTTTTGGTCCTTATCATCTTTCTATCCATACTACACTTTCTTACTTCCTTCTGATCTACTGAGGAGCACAGAACACTACTTCATTTCTTTCACTTTCATGTTTGCAGCTCCTGAACGGATACTTTTTAATCTGTACATTGTTAGAGCAGCGAGCCCTCCCGGTTTTACTGTTGCTACAATGATAGTTTCTGATTGTCCCACCACTGTTTCTGCCACCTCCATTTCGTGCCAGGAACCTTACTTTTGTACAAAGATGCTTCTTTCAGAGCACCACAGCCAGGTTAACTCACTTTCACTACCAGTTGCACCCTCCTGACTCCTTGTTCTAACACTGGTTGCGCAAAACCCATTCGAATCATGATTAGCATGGTTTCTCCTTGCCCCTTGTTCTCCCACCGTCTCATTCACTTTTGTCTATTGCCCGAATCTCATTTACTTGATCCTCTTATTCCTGTGCGTTAGAGCCAGATTTAAAGAATATATAAGTAATCTTGAGGCATTACTGCACTCAAGGACTTAACAAGATAATAACTCTTTAAGCTATTGATATTTAAAACACCATCAACAACAGAATAAACACAAAAACCCACCAAAACCCAAACTATTCTGCTATGAAAAAGACACCTATAACTGTTTACTGGAAATTACCAGTAAAGGACTTCCCACAAATCCCAAAAACTCAGTGCACACAACATCTGCACTGTTAACAGAACAACTTGTATTCGCATTGCTTCCTCTTAGGAATAGGTTACCCCTATTTCTGAACATCAGATACTTGAAGTTCACATTCAAGAGAATTCAGAGACACCATCACTAGGTCATTTACTCATGTACAGCTCAAAACATGGCGGAAGGCTGACCTGGCATGCACAGCAGCACAGAAACTCTTTACAACTCTTATGAAACAAGCAAAATCAAAGATGCAGCCTACTCTTCAGTAAAGGGAAGGAAACTGGAGTTGACAAATTAATAACCAGAAGGTATGTTGGCAGTTGCATGAAAAATAGTATCTACTTGTCGCAGAAGATACACACAATCAAGCGCCACATTACTAAAATGCTCTGGTAACCCGGCTGGCCTGTTCTAAAATGAGTATGTAAAATGAGCCAGAAAGCATTGGGAATTTCTATGAGAAAGACACTTTTCCAGAGAACAAAGAGAGAAACGCACCATTGCTCGTTGATCAAACTGGGAGGAACAGATCTTGCCTCTGCTGTACATTGATACTCTGCACCAGCCACATTCTTACTGAGAATGTGGCACTCTGGGAGAGCCAGCCTCCACCAAAGCAAGGGTAAAAATGAACTAGGGCAAGCTTAATTTTACCAGTGCACTCATGCAAGCACACAATGGTTTGCAGCAGTAAACGGACATGTCTTTGCAGGCAGGACCTTGACTTCATCAAATCTTCTTGGCTTTAACAGCCTCCACTTTCAACATGTTCCTTAGATGGGCTTGTTCATTTTAGTCTGTTCTCTCCTTTCTGAGAAGCCCTGTGATCCTTAGTTTTCCTGGAACTAGAGTTACTCAGATGAGTATCTAAATGCTCAAAATGTCTCAAGGCAGCTGTGATGGAGCAAGAAAACCAGTAACCGGACTTCCATAAACAGCACTTGGGTGACACTCTCCCAAGAAGCCTCATCCGCTGCTGCAGGTAAGAATAGGCACAAACCTCTGAGAAATCAAAACCAGGAACCTGACTTTTCAGTCTCTTTCCGTCTAACAGAATTAACAAAACGTGACGACTCTGCAAATCACACTATTCAGTGAGGCCAGACTGGTCTAGCCAATTCACTCACCTACCCCCAACTTCTCATCTTATGTGAGACACCCTGGCAGGACATCTTTGATTCTCAGCAGCCAGGAGACTACAGGATAAACCTTAAGATCTAAAGCAGTTATTTAATAGTTTCAGTAGTTACCAGAATCTCAGTTTTAAATATTAGTTAAAAAAAAAAAAGACATAACAAAAAACCCCACCACATCCCTCTCCTCCCCCCAAAATTAAGAGATTTCTATTCTAATAATTTCCTTAGAAAGCCTATTTTAAATATTTCCCCTTTTGTACCTGGCCCACTTTGATGAGTTTTTATAAACAAAATAATCCATTTAATCTGTTTTGTGGACATTGGGATGTTTTTGCTGGCTACACTACTGAGCCTACACTGTTGCAACTTCGGTCACTCGCTCACATGAGTATAAAATTACTACTGCCAATATTGGGCTAACTTTAGCTCAATTGTGCAATGCTGTGTTTTGACCTTATGCAAATCTAGAAAAAAAGACCCTTTAAAATACAGTAAATTTTAATGAACTTCAAGAGACTTTTACGCCCATTTGCATTCTTCAAATTTAATATGTTTTCAATCTAAACACAGAAACCCCACAGTCATTTTCCTACTTAAAGCTTCTTTGCCACGTACCAAGCAGTCACCAGCTCCTTGGCAAAGTAAGTTTTCCATAACATTGGAAAGCCTTCTCTCTTTATGTATATCAAAACAAAGATAAGAATATGCAGACTTTTTGTTTGTTTGTTATACATCACATTAGCTTACAGTGGAGCTGTTTCTGTGGGAAAGCTACATGAGGTCTCCCAAAGAGAAAATAAACAAACAGTGAGATGATACACTGCACCAGCTGTAACCTCCTCGCAGCTACCCCAGCCGCTGTGACTCCAGCGAGAACTTTACTGGATATGCGACAATTCTCCTCTCTGAAATTTCCCGTCTTCAAATTGTCAGTATCAGCAATTTCAAAGATTTTTAAGGAGTTCACCATTCCTGTGATCGACACGGAAACCTGCAAAGTCTAGCAATGGAGGGCATGGGCAATTGAGTTCCTATAAATGACATCCTCGCCTACATGCATCTCCCGTCCGAGATTATGACTGTCAGAAATTTATTTTTGAGCACAGTTGCAACTCCTGTCACTTCATCAAGGTGAGATTATGACACCATTGCAGTGGCATCCTCAAAATGGGACTGGAGCTTCCAATTCCAAAAGCACAATGATCACTGTGCAGCTAAAATAAATGAACAAAGCCAGGAACAGGCTGAGGAATTCACAACTACAAACTCTCAAAAACCGATGAAGGCCCATCCAAGACAATTCCAACCAGGACCTGTGCAATGACATGTACATGACAAACTGTCTCAGTCATGACTCTGCTTTGGACTGTCAGATGTTTCAGTGCATCAACACAGTGGTATTTTCCCCACTTATTCTTCCCTGTATCTTTCCTCTTTTTTGTATCTACCATTTTTCTTTTCTTCTAAGCACCTTGTGGCCCAAGAAATACAGTTAACAGAAATACAATCCAATATGTACCCATTAGAAGCAAAATACAATTCCAAATCTGAAAATTCAGTCCCTAAGATATTTACCATCATGCAGCTTGTACAAGCATTAAGTTAGTATTTATTTCCCTCCATTTTTATCTTACCGAGAAGGTAGTTCATCACAAAACAATCTATTAATGTCAGGTGAAAAGTACTGATTTTAAATTTTCCAGCACTCAAAATCCAACACACTTCTTACTAAAAAAAGCATTTTATGTCGTAATTTTTCCATATTCTATTATTCCTCAGCTTGCATTTTTGAAGTGAACAAGTTTCTGGAATTAACTGGTAAAAGCCACAGCACCAGAGCATTCAAAAACCAAATGCTGGAACACACACAGAGTCTAACAAATGTTAGACGTAGTTTCATATTGTGTTTACGAATATGCCATCTACATGCTTGAACGCATGATTAAGTTACCCTGGGCACTAAACTTAACTACTAGGTCATGCACGTTTCGTTCATTTGCATGCTCTCAGCTTGCAGTTATTGGGAGGCAGTTTGAATTAAAAACCTATGTTGCAGGATATGTTATTAGTGCATTAAAAGCCTGTATACAGGCAGTTGATGCCCAAGAGCTACAGAGCTACTACCCCAGAGCTACTCATGGCTCTGACCCCAAAGTGTCTTAACACTAACCCTATTACAAGTCAAACACCGAGCCTTGTAACAAGTCACACACAGACACACACAAAATGAGCATGAAAAACAGTGAAAAGAATGCTCTCCACACAAAAGAAAATGTAAGTTATGAAGAAATAAAGTCTTCATTCTATTTTTGGGTGACATGATCTGTTATCAAACTCCGATTTTTCAGCATACAAAGTATGCATTGATGTAGGCATATTTGTGTGCATTCAGAAAGTGCAAAGAAGACTTTCCAGTTAGTAGCAACTTTTTAAAAAGTCATAAATACAGCTATCCTTAGAGATAAAAAGGTACCTTTGGTTGCATTTTGCTATTCAGAACAACAAGTCTGGGCTCTAGCACATCAGAAATAAATTCTTAGACATCATGAAACATTTAAATCCGATTGTGGAATTACAGGCACAAACATCACTGGCTGCATCATGGACGGCGGTTGGAGATTTTGCAGCTTCTTGAATACACACACACTTTTCACTCCCTTCACATATGAACAGTTCACACTATACATAATTAATATTTCAATAAGACCAAATACCCTGAAGTATAAGCATGTATCTTAAATGTTTCCCCTGAAGCACTAAAAACTTATTCCTAAAGCCTGTACTGCATCATTCTAAAAGAATTTCTAAATATCTTTGGTTATTGTGAACAAACATAATAATCCAAATGGCAGGTTTTGGTTGACCTTGCCTTGGCAGGGAGAAGATGAAGAATGCAACTAAGGATATTATTTCACTCCCCGATTTCCACACTTGAGTGGTAATTCAGTGTTCATTGTACTGAACATTTCCCCACCAGATGCGGTTCCCCACTTTTCTTAAAATCAATGTCTGCTACAGTCATTTCAGCAAATGAGAACAGCTGAGAACACATAAACACAAGCTATATATCTATTTTATATGTACAATATTTCCAAGTCAAACTTTGAACTCTTTCAGAAGAGAATGTTCCCACTCTTGCAGCCGCTGTGGCCAAGCACTCCTTGTGCAGCAGATGTAGGTTTGTACTCACCCCACCAGATGCAACGACTTCAGAGCAGTTACAAATAGCAACCTACTGCATAATGAAGTTGGGTAGGTACCAAACCCAGCCCTTTGTTTGTGAAAGGCAGTTCAAGCCTTTATACATGTTACATAAACTTAAGAAGATACAATTTCCTATTTGTTGCCAGCGTTTCACCTTGCTAGTCAAAACTTCCCCCTGTGTATACAACTCTGTCTGTGCCAACAAAACACCATTCCGGCAATTGCTCCAGGCACCTTCCTTGAAGGAGACTAGGAGTCAAAGCAGTGTGAAGAAATGTAAGCACTGGTGCATCCAATCTGACACAGCTGAAATCCACCTGAATGGGGCTTTGCATCATGCTATCTTCCACCTCCAGACATTTTCAAATAACCTCTGCTTCTGTGAGACTCTGCTGCTAGAGAAGCCCGACACAGCCTGCAGCATGGTCCCCAGCTGAGGTCGTTGACAACATGAACCTGAAAGTACATGGTAGCAATTTTCTTCAAACTCGGCCAAATGTTGAATCTGCTTTTCTTTCTCCAAAGCAGCAAAATACAAAATAAAACTCTACCGAAGGAAACCAGGCTCAACCAGCTACCATCTCCTTATCTTAAACAACTGCTCCGATGCCCTCCAAGAACATCTTTACACACCACAGTTCGATTACATAGCTTTGAAGACAGCTTCATAACTTGCCTGCCTCAGCTTCGTAACATCAGGTCTCTCAGTATACAACAACTCCAACTCAGACAGTGCCAGAAATCCAGGCTGTCCCCACAGTAAGGTAGTAAAGCAAACAGTTTGCAAAACACCACCCCGACTGAGAAATTGGTAGATCAAGGCAGCTAAGAACAGCCTTCTCCTTCTGGATGAGCTTAAAGCTATATTTTAAACTGGATTGGTTTTACTTACAAGGAAGCAACAATACAGATTAATTCAGAATATAAACAACACATTGCAATTTAAATATTAATGAAAACTTTCATGTTTGTTCACAATTAGAAGCTTCCACTTAGCAAACCAAGTGAATGAAAAAATGTTGTGTCACTGAATGCAGAAAAAACCCATAGCTCTTCAGAAGAGAAGCACTTAATTCCTGCTCCGGCTGAGCATAGCATTTGCTGTAATCGTGGGAACAGAGAGCAGGATAAGCCTGCCTGGAGACATGTCTACATTTCAGAGAAAAAACATGGCTTTTTTTAACTTTGTAATCTGTTCTTCAATAAAAGAAGTATTTGTTGTTAATATCAACAGATTAGCATGTAGCTTCTGTTAAAGTTTGTTTACAAACAGGCACAATACATGCAGACTTAAATATTCAAGCTAAACATTTAAAATTCTGATAAAACAGTAAGAAAAGCTCCACACACCAACAGATAACATTTAAGAAGCTTAGAACAAACTACCTTTTACAAAACTATACTTTACTTCAGTAATAACAGTTTGGAAGAAAAGTTGTGTTGCTTCAAAAAATTTCAGAAAATGCTTGCTTTCAGAAGAGAGCAACATACAGCCAAAAACATCCAGGGTTCTTATTTGTGCAGTGTATTAAAAAGATGTAAGCTGCATGTTTATATTAATATGAGTGGAAAGGGTGGACATCAATGACATTACTGTGCGTTCTTACCCAGCAACTAGAACATATTTTCCATCTGGTTGATCCTTTAACCTTTCCAGCAGGGACAAACGTACTTTGGCTTTGGTTTGGCCATAGATCTCAATTTCATCTGTAAGCAATCCTATCTCCTTGGCAAGTACATCAACAGCTTTTGGACGCTGTGCTCGGGAAATCTCAATATCACTGGAAAAGAAAACAAATAGGAGCCAGGAGATTTCTCTCAGCTTAGGTGGTCGACGACAGAGCACAAAACAATAGCAAATACTCCAACAATGGGGTTATTGTAATCAGTTTTTCAATCCTCTCTCACATTTTATTAACCAAACCTAAATATTAGCTAACACCTAATATAATATTGAAAATCATGTGCAGTGTTTGTTAATTGCTACAGTTTCACAGAGTTCTCTCGTTTAATCAGATTCCAAATATTACGTAATGCTTTCATATCAAGCTAGAGACGTGTCTGCTGGATGCTCAAGCACGTCCCACTGGAATGGATGTTTCTGGTTTTGTTTTTCTTGCCCACCCTCCCAGTATATTTCAGCATATACACTTTACTAAAAAGCGCATGCATTCCTTGGCCAACAGTCAGATGAACACATTAGCTAAGCCTGACGCTTGTGCGTGTAGCGCATTTCATCAGAGGGTACCGCCAAGCAAGCTAAGCCTCGCTACTCCCCCATGAGGGCACCAACGGAAAGAAGGCATTTGAAGATCAGCTCACGCACTTCTAAAACACAGCTACATTGAAAACGGCCACAGAGCAGGAGTTCAATGCACAGGGCTCCGGCCAGAAGTCCAGTGAGCCTATAAACTATTTCCAGCGAGGACTTGCAAGTGGCATCTGAGGCAAGAGAACTAGAATGGAGCAAGCACACATGGCAGAATTGCCTGAGAGGAGGTCGCTGCAAGGCTGGGGGACACTTGTATCTGCAATTCCTGACCTAGACCACCTGGAGTCTTTGGATTTAATACTCCTTCATAGATTTTTCATTTGTGAGCTTGACCTAGTTGCCCCTTATGTTCACATAAGCATTTAGCAGCTGCAAGCTCCCGTGGCAGTAAAGTCCAGGGCCCAGCACACAAGATATGAGGAGTTGTCTCCTTTGGCTTTGAATTACTCACATCACCACAAAAGCAAGTTAAAAAATTACCAAGAGGTTAATTACTTTCAGACTAATCAGGCTAAATTCCTTCCTGCAGTTTCAGTTGATTACAATATTTTTAAGATAGAATCTGGCAATGGCATCAAAGCTAATGTCCTGAACTTTCAAACAGCCTGCAAGACCTCGAATGTCCACAGATGAGCACAGAACCACTGCCAGATCTCAACTCTACGTGTGGACTTCGTCTGTTCTGCATCCACCAGCAAATGATCAGTTTGTGCCAATTTCACTGCTTGCAATTCTTTGAGGATATCCTAAACTGGGACCAGTATTCAATTCTAATTCTCAGGTATCCCACTTCTGTACCCTGCAGCAGCTAAGTGGAACCCAGAATGCATCCATCCAAACACTGACATAATCCAGTACTACAGGACAAGAAGCTACTCTACAATCACAGCACTCAACAGTTGGGTTGCAGACCATTCTGTTGCATATACTAACCTGGAATCTGGTTTCTTTCAAAGACATACTAAGCGCATCCTCTTGCATAGAAGGATATACCTTTGGCTTATGCGTTTCTTCGAACACAACTATCCATAAAAATGTATCAAGAACACAAGATGGAGTGGCTTACAAACAGCACATGACAAAGAATATTTAAAGTTTTCATTCAGAACTCTCCATATAAAAACAACATGAGTCTCAGAAAAATATTGGTAAGTTCATGACAGTGTGGTCCCTTAAGGATTTAACAAGGCAAATTTGTAGTGTGACTATTCTCCTACTAAAACAATTGATGTATTCAGCAAGGGGAGAAGGATGTAGACTAATAGAATAGAAAGTTCATTTGCCTTTTTTTTTTTCTCCTACTAAATATATCAGCCTCTTTACTAAAAGACAGAAGCTTTTATTTCAAATCTTGGGCCAGACTATCAAGACTCCCTGCAGCAATCTCAGCCCTTCCTATTTCCCTCATCTCTTGGGCCACAAACCCCTCCCTCAGAGCTCTGGAGGAAACAATGAGGCTTTTGCCACCCTGCAGGTACCACTACTGGCAAAAAGTGAAAGAACCAAAACTGACCAAGCTGTACACTTATGAATAAATTAAAAGGTAAAGAATTTCTAAATAAATAAATTACAAATATTTTTAGAAGTCAATTAAAATTGACAGTGGATGCTAACAGTTCTCCATTGGTGAAACCATTGCTGTCATCATTTTCCCACCTGAAGTTCCCTCAAGAACCTTCAAGGCAACTAGACTTTTAACAACTTAGAAACCCTTTAATGACAGATTGCACACTGATACAAGCAATGAAGTGATAAAAAGCATAATTTCACAACGAATTGACATTTATACCTTAACTACTACTGGGGCTAAACAACACCTATGAAATGTTTATCTCTAGTTTATTATTTCTGGTAAAAGTATTTTCTAAGCCACAGGAAGTTAAAGATTTGATGATAACTAGCATTTAGAGGTCTACATTTGTAGCTAGCTCTTTTAGTTCGACAATATAGTCTCTATATTGAAGACATCAGAATTATTCAATAAGTTATGTTATTCAATATTGCTGGAAATGTGAAACACTGGTTCTTATGCATGAATGAGAATTGTTAAGCAAAAGGTCCACCACTGACAATGGTAAGTCATAATTTACAAAATACAGGAAAATTTAAAAGATGGGGGAAGGCTCTATATCTACTGAGCCTGCATGCCGGAATTTTTTTTAGTGCATATTTTCCGTTCCCAATTTCTTTGGAAATACTTCAATTAACACCCAGATCTCACAGAAATCAAAAAGCAGATGTTCCTAGTTTTAGTGCTTAAGCAGCTTTGCCTCATTTTCAATGAAAACTCCACATCTGTTTCCACACAATGTGGTGTATTACTGTAAGATTACATTTTATGGCAGGATACTTTCCATCTGATGAGTTATTTTTACGTTTAAAAGAAAAAAAGACCTAAAGCTATAGAGTTATCAAATAAATGGAAGCCCTATTACTGGTTATATTAGATGCCATTATATATAATTATGTAAATATTTATGTAGTAAACACTCAATATCATAGAGAGGGTTGGGAATACTTTTTTTGAGAGTTTTTTCACCATCACACTCATGACATCACATGCTTTAATCTACCTTTTAACTGTGTTATGTAAGGATAGATTTTTCAGGCTTAAATTCTAGAAATGTTACATGCTGGCCCAGGAAAAGTTCAAGCATTTCTTCCCTCTTATGCCCCCAGGTAAAATAGAAAGCTCATTCTTCTGGCATCTCTGTTTTAAAGTACAGTTGCATCCATTCTCATTAAACTATTGTAAATGACAGTGAAAAATGAATCAAAGTGTTTAGAAAAGAAAACGTTTTGTTACAGCTTTCCAGAAACACAGCAGTGGGATTCAGAATTACAGAATCACAGAGCGGTTGAGGTTGGAAGGGGCCTCTGGAGGTCATCTAGTCCAACCTCCCTGTTCAAGCAGTGCCATGTAGAGCAGGCTGCCCAGGATCAAGTCCAGGCAGCTTTTGAACATCTCCAAGGAGGGAGACTCCACACCTCCCTGGGCAACCCGTGCCAGTAATTCTCATGGTAAAAAACTTTCCTGATGTTCAGATGGAGCCTCCTGTGTTTCAGTTTGTGCCCATTGCCTTTGGTCCTGTCACTGGGGACCACTGAAAAGAGCCAGGCTCCGTCTTCTTTGTACCCTTGTATTTATATACACTGTATATATATACACATTCATAAGATCCCCAAGCCTTCTCTTCTCCAGGTTGAGTGGTCCCAGCTCTCTCTGCCCTTCCTCCTATGTGAGATGCTCCAGTCCCTTTATCATCTGTGTCACCCAGAAGCATGCATTGCAAATAAGCACGCAAAAATTCCAAAGCTTTCTTACATGGCAGAACCTCACTTCAAGTTGTTGGTTCCTCTCTCTGTCAGCCAACACAACCAACACACAGCAAAGCACTTTAGCGCAGCAAAGGGCTCAGGCTGCTCTAAATGTCAGAGATGTCAGCAACCGTGCCAAGGCAGACCTGAAGTCCCTCCGGCCCAGACAGGGGCCTTGGGAGGTGAATGACAGGAACTGATTGAAAAGATTCTGGCTATGAGAATAAATATGCTTCCTGCTTTTCACATCAACACAGGAATTTAAAAGTCTAATGCCAAAGAAAGTACTTGTACCGCGGGAAGAAAAGAAACACAAGATCAAATGCCATTGAAACCACTGGGCCTTAACTAGATCCATAAACACCTTCCTACATTAGGGTTTAGCGATTAGGAGCTTCTTGTATTTTGTATTCCTGTTGATCTTACACAAGCCTTCAACTCCCTCCCTCAGTGAAACCTTCCAGCTTTAGGTCTTCATTAAATAAAGCTTGGCTCCAATGCACATCATAAAAGTAAAAACTGATAGGAAACAGAAGACACGATCATAATGAGGCATACAACAAAAAGGCACAACACGCAGTCCACATAAACAGATTAAAAAATCATTAGGCATGGACCATTTTTAGGTTCATTGTCACATTTAACATTTGCCTACTCTTTTTTTATTTAAAAAAACACTTATTACCTGGGCACTGGGGAGAGGGGCTGCAGTTTCAAGCAGCGGAGGTCCCACTTCCTGTACTGCTGGGACCGGATCCATCGCTCGGTGTTTTTTACCATGTTCTGTTTTTAAACAAGAAAACAGCACACACCAGCTGCATCATAAATGCTGAACACGAATTTCAAACAATCTCACGAGTGTGTTGAAATAACTTTTACGGCCAAGCCTAGCAAAAAACAAACTTAAAAATCCTTCCATTTCATGGTTTTAGGATGAAAGAATAAACAAGCACTACGCTACTACTGTCCTATTGTTTGCCCACTTTTTTTCTGAAAGAGGCAAGACCATTAACATGTAAGTGGCAGAGAAAAGTCTCTAATTAGGCACTTTGAGATTTTATTCTGATAAAATGGAGAATTTATTTTATTCTCTCACTCCTTAAAAATAATGGAAGATATTAATTGTTCACTGACTGACTCATGCTGCTTCCACATAAAACAATAAACTTTTGGACCCTCTAACCCTCACGCCAGAAAAGTGTGCACAAACATAATTAATTTTCACTGTCTTACCGGAATAAGTAACATTAGTCCACTGATACAAGTGTGTCTGCCAAGCTTTACTGTAATCATCGAATTATGTTTGATTTTTAATTTTGATTTGACATGTTTGATTTTTAGTTTACCTTTCTCTAACTAAATGTAACAGGCATGGCTCACCCTAACTAACTGACTAAGAGTTGCTATTAAAATGGAAGGCAGGTAAGATGTTCAAGAGAGCAAAACAAAAATTAACATCGACACTGCAGAACCAATTTCTACAACTCCCAGAAAGAGCTACAAATTTACAATGTTTGATGTTACACTAACCTGCATTCGCATTGCTATTGCAAGAGAAGCAACAGTGTTTTCAGCAGCGTGGTTGTTTTGCTGACCGTAGTTTTGTTTCTCTGTAAAATAAAAGTATTGCACTAATAAACCACAAAGCTTTTGTGAGTGGGAGCATGTGTATTTGAAAGCTATGTCCAAACACAAAATTTCTGAATGTTGACTTGAAATTTAACAATATGACTGACAAAATTATAGGTGGCTTATTTAATACTTCAAATGAAATCACCCAGGAGAATGGATATAGCGTGAAAAGCAGAGAGCAACTGTATGCTCTGAAGTATATCATGCAAACACACACATGCATATGATGAAGCATACGCATACTGGAAAAAGAAAATTAGCAAACACAGAGATTAATTCCAGGATCCAAATAACTGCTTTTGGAGAACAACAACAAAACCACAAAAAACCCGAACAAAAAAACCCAAAAAACCAAACCACCAACACAAAGCCAGACAGATGCAAGGATTTGAAAAGCTACATATATTTTTTTAACTGAACACCTAAATGAGCATGGTAAAGATTGTTCTTTCCTACACACCCATCACAGCAAGAATGAATCACAGCAATGAAACAAATCACAATACTATGTAGGATTATTATCCAACAGGATTTATAACCTGGAATCAGAATATGCAAAAATTTTTGAGCAGCAAAAGTTATCTTCATCAATGTGACATTAAAAGTAGATATTCTAAAGAGTCTACATAATTTAGAGTGACTCCAACTTTAGAGACAGTTATAATTGTTTCTAGTGGCAATATATCATATAATAATCATACATTAGCTACCCTAACTAAACATATAGTCATTTTCCTGTAATCCTTCTTTTGGCTTATTCTTCTGTTGCTGCTTACTGACTTTTATCTAGACACAATTTCTCCAAGATTCACATCCTAGTCTCTCTGGGCATATCAAGGCCCCAGTCGCATTCTAAAGGGCGTAGACAAAACTGTAATAAAAAATAACAACTGCACGCTGACAGCTTTAACTTTTCGCCCACAGGGGAAGTGAAGTGCAAACCCTGACCTGGTCAAGCTCTCAACTCCACTCATCCCATCTGTACCGATCATAAAATGCTCACGTTGCCTTGCACAAGCCCCCCTCCTGACAAGGGTCCCTGGGCTGGCAGGGCGCAGAGACCTCAGGCTGGAGCCGGAGCAGCAGGCAGAGGTGTGCAGAGGAGTCGGCACAGCACCCCGCCACATGAGCCCAGCTCCAGCCCACTCTCTCATGCCCATCGTCGAGAGAGCGAGACCCTTTCCGCAGCCACCCCCAGCCTCATTCAGTATGTTTTGTCATCCTTTCCAAACTTTCTTGTCGCTAGACATCTGTACGTCAGTGACAAAGCTAACCAAGCAGAAGGTGACAGTCCTGACATTGAACTCTAATTAAGAGAGTGTCTGAAAGTGTCTTCTACTTGTATTAACACTTGCCATTTAAAAGGAAAAATAAAATTAAAAAAGTCTTCTGAAGATGCACAGTTTTAGACTCAGACAGGGGAGTTTTACTGGAAGTCTATCACAGTCATAAGCTGACTGTTGTTGCTTTGAGACCAGGCTGGGAGAGCTGCCAAAGAGACAAATGAAGTAGGAAGAATGAAGTTTAAAATCCCCTTTCAGACAGCTGTGCTTTACAGAAACATTTCAACTTTTTATGTTGTTTGGCTTAATGTGACTTCTTTATCAGGGCAGGGCTAGCATGTGGGTAAATACATATCAGAATTAGACATTTCCCTTCAATAAACTACTTCTCTCAGGCTGCCTATGCTACGCCCTCACCCTACAAATGACTAACCAGGCTTTTATAGGGGTGAAGATGAAGCTAGAGGTGAAAGTCACGCTCACGTTGAGCTAGCAAGACAATCACAGGATTGCAACAGCTCTCTCGGGATAAATTTTCCAGATGGGAGCCAGAATAGCACTCTCCGCTTTGGAGTTTGGCCAGAAGATCAGCTGAACTGCAGGCTTTGTGCTCCCTCCTCTGACTCACCCCAGTGAAGGTCCACCCGCCCGTCCACTTGTACCCCGTTGTGCGGGTGGGTGAGAGGTGCTGTCACGCACTACCCATCCGCTCAGGCAGCTTAGAGTAGAGAAGAGGTGGGGAAACGGTTGCATTTCCCACTAATGTGCTTAAACCATATGGGCTTCAGCTTTCAAGTGACACCAAAGAAGTTGGACATCAAATCCCGAATAATTTTGGCATCCTTAAGTTTTGTGCAGAAACTTGATTTTCATTTCTACACATCTGCATATAAAGCATTTTCCCGCAAGACACTACCAGCACCCACTTGATTCCAAAATTGTTAGTGCAGCAGAATAAGATGTTGCACTTCTACAAATTGTAGAATATTCTAAAATTGTGATCACCTAAAAATCTTTGATTGGATTAAAAACATACTTGAAAAAGAATTCTGTCACTTTGGAGCAAGCACTTTTAGCTCTACTCTCCCGGCTTACATCATTTACAGCTGCCCAACACAACTATGTCCCTGCAAATTTTGAGTGCTTTTAAAACACTCAAGTGTGTTAGCCTACATGGGTACCTATGAAAGATAGAAATCTAGCCATCATCCAGCAAGAATAAATGTCATTTCATGGCCATTGTTGCTTTCAGGCTTCATTTAGCGCCTGTGACGCCACAGACGTTAAGCTGGACATTTCCAAGGCAAGAAAAAACCCAGAACAATTTCCAAACACCTCAGCCAGATTGCACCACATACCAAAAGTGAAGAGTCAGTCCTAACACTCAGTTGTTTCTCCAAGATCACGATTGCTTCACAATGGGCTTTCAATAAATATCTTGCAATTAAACTAAGTGCATTCTTTCTGTCAAACAGACACCTGTGTTTCATGTACCTCTTTAATAAGTCTTGAGGCCAGCATTTTTTAAAGCTGCTAAAATGCATTTCCACTATTCTTTCGGAGTTTCTCCAAGATTCTGACAATCTCAAGAGCATAAGCATAAAGGCAGATGGACATTTGGTAAATAAGTTCTATTTAAATTATCTCACTAAAAATCTCACTCTGCCTTTCCAAAGAAATGCTGTACTTCACACAGCCCACTGCTACAACTTGAAAAATGAAAAGTAATCTATATGCTTATGCCAAATCTTACATTTCCTGCCTTAAGAATTAATGTTGGTGTGGTACATGAACACCACTCAAATGTTTTAATGCTGTTTTCCTAACAGCCCATTTTTAGGGAAGGGAAATATTATCTATAGTTGTATAGAGCAACTAAGGCATGACTCTTAAGATACTTAAGTCTCAAGACATGGCATGCAGTTATACTGCGTAACTTTAAAGTCTCTGAAGACCCAGACTCCCTCCGCAAATGGAAGGAGAGAATTAGGTATCTGAAAGTGGGGCTTGCACCAGGCAGCACGCAGAGCTGTGAGAGTTCTGCCATTAGTGATGCCCGCTCAGGCTACAAGGATTGTGTTACCCCCATCCTGCCTTCGTAGACCTGCACCTCTACCCTGAGTCCAACACCTAAGAGGTTTCTGCTTCGAAGGATTAAAATGAGGAGGGGCCATTCCTTTTCATTTATGTGTTTATAGGCGCTACTGCTGTATCACCATCCCTTCTCTTCTCTGCCCCTTTCCCTTTCTCCCCCATTCCTCCTTCATGTAAGCGTACGTTGTATTTGTAGGTTGGGTACCTGCTGAAGAGACTTACACTCCAAGCCCTGCACCACAGATACTTAAAAATTACATCCAACAATCCCTATGAAAAAGAAGTGGACACTAAAGATGCAAGGAATCTCCTAATCACTAGGCTAGGAAAAAGAAAACATGAATTATTTTTGGACAACTTGTGCAGCATCAGCATGGGATAATGCTTGGTACCCACCCCGAGATCCCCAATAGGATCAGAGCACTGTTCTGGAAGGTGGAAGATGAATGCCCAAATGCCTTCAGACAACTGAGTGAATAATAACCCAGACCTCCCACATCCATAGCGTGTTCAAGCCAAGAGGATATCATGAAAGGCAAGGAAAGGAATCTCTTGCTAAAGCCATGCTTTGCACGGGAACAGCAGCTGCTTTATTATGAGCCTGATCTTGCATTAGCTTTGTATCGAGTGTCTGCTTAATTTGTCCTTAGGGCATACACCTAGTTCAGGAAGCATACACTTAGTCTTCCTTGGCCTAATGCCCTTTTCCCCAGTTTTATATCAATAGATGTCAATATGCATACTTGTGATAGATTTAGAGAGACACATTAACCAACCACACTACCCATGTACTTCCTTATTTTCCTGTTCATTCACAACATAATACCATCTGGACCTGGAACAGTCAAATTCATATACATATGAAAAATCTAGAAAATACCTAGAGATCTTCAGAAGACTTTAAGGAATTTTACAGGAAATGCAATGCTAGCAGTAGAATAGAATAACTTCTGGTTATTCTAGATTTCTTAGTTCTATTCCTAATAAAATTCTGTAGCATTTTTCAACTGAGAAATTAATGAACATGTACCCCCTCCCCAACCAGTCAGGGGAGGAGGAGAGAGGGGAATCCAAACTCTTTTTGTAGGAGTAATTACTGCAGGAGACATTCTGCCTGTTCTTAGCTACATATGATGTCTGTACTCCTTCCTGCACCATTCTCTGCACACAGCTTCACAGCACTTTGCAGTTGGTATTTTCACCCCCTCTTCTCTTTCCCCATGTTCCAGGCTAGTACGCTGTACAAAACAGCACTAAATAATGGCTCATCTGATGGTCCAAAAGTCTTCCCTCTGAATTCTTTGAATCCATGGGATCATCACTTATTTAACACTCCTGGTAGGAAGAACCTGTTCCAGGCTTTCTCCCCTCACCTGACATCTTTTTCCTATTTACACGAGACATGTGAATACATCCCCTGTACACAAACACCCACTTTTAAAGGCCCTTTCCTGAAGATATAGCTTTTGACCACATTGCGTTGTCACCAACATGCCACACACTTATGTCAAAGACTCGCCGTACATCACTTTCAAGAACTGGTATCTTTTAACGCCTCTTACCTGACAGCAAGTCACGAGAACAACTGATAATGGTGGTTCCAGGCTTTATCCAGCTCACAGGAACATCATCGGGTTTTGTACTGCCAAATACCACCACATCTGCGTGATGAAGCTAGGGACAGCCCAAAACACCCCCCAGAAACAATACAAACATTTAATGTTAGAAATACATTCTTGAACATGCATCTGGTAATATTCAGACTTATACAGCAATAAGCTTTTGAGCAAAGTATTTGCAAACAGCAACAAAAAAAATAATCCAAATTGATGGCTTGAGTCTTACCCCACATGAAATTTAAGAACAATAGCATTTAAAATGAAGTCAGGTAAACAAACTGTGAAATCAGGCAAGTGGTGTCAGAGTAAGCACCAGTAATACTTAATGGGGATTACATACTTTCAAAGAAAAAGCCCTACCATTGTCCAAAGCCTCGTCCAACAAGATGACTTGGAGAGACTTAAGAAAGAGAAGGGTTGAAAGACAGTAAATAGGCAATTATAAAGAGTACAGTCAGATTATCTGACCGTAGAGAACCAGGCCAGCTGACAGGAATGCAAGATGACCTGATCTTTGAAGAATAATCACTGCCTTTGAAGAATAACAATTGAAGCATTTTTTTCCTTCTCAGTTCATGTTTGCTAATCAGTGCCTCTGATTTAGTTCAATCTGACAGATGTTGAAGCAAAAATGGTTACTACAAAAATTCTTATAATCAAAGACATAAGCATCTTCCTGTCCTCCCTCCTCTGAAACAGGGCCCTGTACCAATTATCAGAATCACCATGAGATCAGGGACAGCACCAAAGGCAGATGTATAACGATCCACTAAAAAAGCAAAATACAGGCACAGCACTGCCTCAAGCCTAAATGTAAAAATTATTTCAGTGATACAGTGATTTCGGGAATATTTTGAAAAATGCAAATTAATATCAAGTGTCAGAAACCTGGCGAGCCTCTCTATGAATTGATTTGTGACTGACAAGCGTTCCAGCTTCTTTTTTGGCCAAAAGTGCTCTGACGCAACCCTGCCCAACACTCCGGCCAAGAAAGAACAGCTACAAATCCTGTCAGGATAGCAGGTTTTTGGCACAGCTCAGCATCCAGGAGGAGAGAAGAGCATAAATGTGGCGGAAAAGGCAGAAAGCTAAAAAAGCTCCATCTTTCCCTCAGAGGACACATGGATAGCCTAACCCTCCTTAGAGAGCCACATGCGGAAACAAAGCCAAAAGCGTGGGAGAAGATTTATTTGCTTGACAAATGACTAATGCAATGAGCTGATTCAGGCCTCAGTCAGAAGTCCTAAAACACTCCTATGATTGCCTGCAAACGTACAGTCTCAGCAGTCATTCAGCCTTACCCAAATTGCTTACACTCCTGCGTCTGGTGTGAATATCAACTTACATGCCACTCCTAGAAGGCCACGTAAGTCTTAACGCTTGACCAGTGTCAGGTCAAATCATACTGAGGAATCTGCAAGCAAATTTGGATAAAAAGATGCTGCTGCAATGACTCGTGTACCAAGAATACTACGCTGAAGATGCACTCTCCCCTGCAAAAGGACGCAGACTCCACCGTAACGGTCAACATCATCAACACGGAGAAAAACAGTGATCATTCTCAGTCACATGAATTCAGCCTTTTTTGTAACAAAATAACGATTCACATTCTAGCAGATACCATTCATATACTGGAAGTCAGGTACATCATCCCATGTGAAGCCTCTGGGACAAGGACTAAGAGCTTTGCACACCACTTTGTATCATGAACCTATAAACCAGTTGAGAGCTGTATGCAAGAAGTAATAATTTTGACAAATATTCAGCCAACATACTTATGACAGAATTGATCCAATGTAACTATAACACCAGAAAACAATTGACCTGACCAAATATTCATCTCTATGACTACTGATCATAACGTTCAAAAATGTTAACAGCTGAACACAATAATTTTTGTGGCCAATTTTGTAGTTCGGACGGCTAATGTTGAACATACTCATAAATGCTTTGGAAAACCAGTTGAACCTTTCATCTCATTGCCCTGTCCCACCTCCTCCTTGAAGAATGTTCTATCATACATGGCAGTGAACAGTTGTCCTATGGGTTGAAGACACACTGATCTCTGAGCCTTCCCTGCCATGATTTCCTTTTCCTTATTTCACAAAGAAAGTAATTGTAAAGGAATTAAAAAAAAAAAAGGCACAGATAGAATTGTATCTCTCTTGCTATAAGCAAGTATTTTATGTGCAACTACTGAAAAAGTTCCTGGAGAGTCAATAAAGTATATATCACAATATAGAATTTTTTTTCTCCCCTGTATTTTAAAAAAATTATATCCAGAAACTTGTTTGATTGGGAGACTGAGTCCACTGAAAGCAAAATAGTTGTTTACAGAATTCTGGGTGTCCTTGGAGGACATTTATGTAACCTCCATCGGGGTGTTTTGGTTTCACGCACAGGAAGTCGTGCCCTGCTTTTTTTCCTCTCTTGCCATAACCTTCTCTTTTGACTGCCAGTTAAATCACTAACACAAGCAGCAAGCCTTGGGAGGCATGTGCAGGCTTATCTCCTACATCAGAAACAAATCACAGACGTTAAGGATGGAAAAGACCTACGAAATCATCACATCCAACCTCCCTAGCAAACACACCGCACAGTCCCCAGAGAGAGGATGTGCCTGACAGGAACCAGATGCTACAGGCAGCCATAGCCAGAAGGTCGAGGAGATGCCCACGAGGGGAACGTGCGGCCGCAGGGCAACTGGCTGCCCGGTGCTCCCTGGACAGCAAGGCTGCGTCTCACCAGGCAGGCTAGAGAAAGGAATGACAAGCATCATGCCAAGCCATCCTTAATTAACTAGGCAATAGACTGAAGACTAAGTAAGCTAATACTCAGTAGTATCCTGCTTTCTCACCGATAAATATTTTTTCAGTTGGGAAGAGCTGTGCCAATAAATAATCTGAAACCTTACCTTATAACAAAATACGACTCTCTCCACCAAGATTTAAGTAGAAGCAGATTAAGAAGCACCACCCATTCCCAAGACAGAACACCAAATGTTAAAACAACAATACAGACCTTCCAGCCAAGTATTTAACGGTACAAAGTAGCTGTATATTCTAGATAACTGAAGACCCATTTTGCCACAAAGACTGCATAAAAATTTAATTTCCCCATAATTAAAACTGACTGCTACAAAAGCCATTTTAAAATATGTTATCAAAGACAAAAATATTTGAAATTAATATTTGAAATGTAAACCTCCTCAGTTTCCTGGGTATGAAGTTAGGCCAGCTAAAATTTAAGAGATGGGATGAGGAATAGGAATCTGACTCAAAGTTGTTTCACAACTCTCCTTAAGAAAATAATCATTTTACACATCAGTTTATACATCAGGTTTCACTTCAATCACAGCAATTCTAATTCTTTCTGAAATCTTGAAACTTTTTTATGTCAAAGACTATTTTCAGGTATTTTTTCCACCCAGGCATGTTCTTCTTACACGGTCTCTTCCAGCTCCATCTCTACCCGAGGAAGTTCAAGGTTTGCAAATTATTGGCAACCCAGCGGGACAACTACGTGTGGTCTGCTCCGATCCCTCCCCACCAGCTGTGGTCCTCAGGGATGGGCTGCAGCGAGCAGCCACCAGCTCCCTGCTACTGTCTTCTTGCCCAGACACCCATAGCCCCTTCCCTACCACATCAGCCCAAATGCATTTGCCCTACACAGTGCACTTAAAAATTAGGTCCACATCTCTACTGCGGGCTCAAGCCTACCGCTATGATGTCTGCTTTAGCAACCGTTCCGTTAGCTCACAGACAGGGAGATAAATTTCAAATTGCAAGGAACAGAGATGATGCACATAAAAAGCTGAAGCAGAAATACTTTGTCTACACCATTGTCATTAGAAACTCTCAAGCAGCCTCCCTCTCCTCTTGTGGCATCTGTATACCCGGTCTCACGTTCTTTCATGCTCACTTACATGCTTACAGTACGAAATGTATTTTTCTGCCAGTACCAAGACTCTTAGTCTCATCAAGACAGCAAAAACAGGACAGTAAATGACTACGAGATCTCTAACAGCCTGAAGCTTAAGCATTGGCTCTAAGGAGAAGCAGGCTGTGGCCAAAAGAGGCCAAATTATCCAAGCTGAAAAGGAACTTCCCATTCATGCACTCCAGCTGAACCACTCTCCTTCTCAAACAGACTTTTACAAACAAGATTTCCATTCCTAATTATACCTAGGTACACAAATTTTCAGTTCTTTTACAATAAAATTGTAGGATAGCAGCTCTCTCAAAACAGGAATGATGTGGTTCACATACAGACTACATTTAAGAAGATGTGCTGAAATCTTGACTGACTGAATTTAGATGACTGAAACACAATTCCATTTTCTCATAGGTACTTAGTATCATCCATGTTTTGGCAAAAAAATAGCCTGTATTTTGCAATTTGAATTTATTTTATAACCTCCTTTCAAACTGGAAAGCCTAATTTGAACATAATAAAGGATTAAGCACATCAATTCCCGTTCTTCACTTGTAACGCTCAATTGACTTTTGGGTAGTCCCATTTTTAAATGACAAGAAGTGAGATGTTCCTGAAAGTATGTCACTAGGTCATTCTTCAGGCACTCTGCAGTGATTGTGCTTTGCAGAATTATCTACACAGAGCTTAACAGAATGATAACACCTTACCTATTTCCACCAAAATGCTCAAGTTTTTATCTCTTACTTCATAATTTATTTTACACCCAATATATCAACGCAAAAAGACCAGCATTTCTTCATGGCAGCTATGCACAGCTGTGCCAGAACCTTCTCAAATATACTGCTTTCTTTCATATGTGATTTTATTTGAAAACTCAGGAAGCTCAAGAGTGTCGAAGGACATGGCTCAGCTGTGCCATGATGATTATTTTTAATAACTAAAGTCAAGCAAACCTAAAATGGAATAAAAAGAAACATTAATAATCTGTTCACCTTAACAAAACATGAAGTGGGGAGGGAAAAGACCATGCAAAGTGTGTCCATTATTCATGCAGGTCAAAGCAAGGAAATTGAAATCTACCATTATTTATTTAATTCCGTTTTCCTGCCCTAGGACAGA